TTGAATTAATTCATTCCAACTTTTAGTATTTCAAATTCACATTGTTTCCTTTGTCATTAGGGGTGTACTGCAAATAAGCTCTTTGTAATTCATTAGCAATTTTCTAATCATACAAAATGTGTTTTAGTTCTATCTATATATTTAAATTATCCAGATAATGTTTAAAATTTCAACAATTTTTAATGAGGACTTAAATTCATTTAACATTTTCGTCATAATGAATTTATTTTAAACAATAATTGAAAAATGATTAATATTTTTTTTTTTTAAGTTTTCGACGCTATCTTATATCAAACATTTTCCGTCTTTCCCAATATGGTACAGTTAGATATCGGTTTCAGTTATTTACAATATATGTATATTTATAAACATGAACTGACGTTTGATAACGAAATAATCACCATATTCAAACTTCCAGGGACACCATCAAATGTAAACTTAAAATAATTTTTGTTTTGCACCTTCAGAAAGAAGAATTATACAAAATAACACGGGACATGGCGAAATAATGTCACTCCAATAATGAATTTTATATGATTTTTTTTACTACCACTCGTCATCATTGAATTTGGTTAAGTTATGAAGGAAAAACGTATCTTTTCATGGGAAATTTTCAAATCATTAGGGACACCACTTTAAAATAACATAAAATGATTTTTTACATCAAAATAAAGATAAATTTAATAACTTTTTCACCTACCATGGCAATAGTTTATGATTGTACAAATAAAATGTTGACAAATCATTTTAAAGCAACTGTCGTTTTTTCCATATAGAACAATGTTAAATTTTATCAGTCCAAAAGTGCTTTGGTCACTGATAACGTTACCCCCGCTGAGCTGTCCCTGATTCTTGTGTATGAATATAAAGCTTTATAAAAACAGTTTATGCTGCCGCAGGATAATAATCCATATGTCTTTCTTGCATTCTGTGTTTTTGTCCCAAGTGAAAGTAAAAAATAAAACATTATTCTATTTGGAATCAATTGAAAAGTTTCCATAATATTAAACTAGAGGCTCTAAAGAGCCTGTGTCGCTCACCTTGGTCTATGTGCATATTAAACAATGGACACAGATGGATTCATGACAAAATTGTGTTTTGGTGATGGTGATGTGTTTGTAGATCTTACTTTACTGAACATTCTTGCTCCTTACTATTATCTCTATCTATAATGAACTTGGCCCGGTAGTTACAGTGGAAAATATTTTGTAAAAATTTACAAAAATTTACAAAATTTATGAAAATTGTAAAAAATTGACTATAAAGGGCAATAACTCCTTAAGGGGTCAATTGACAATTTTGGTCATGTTGACTTATTTGTAGATCTAACTTTGCTGTACATTATTGCTGTTTAAAGTTTATCTCTTCTCTATCTATAATAATATTCAAGATAATAACCAAAAGCTGCAAAATTTTCTTAAAATTACCAATTCAGGGGCAGCAACCCAACAACATGTTGCCTGATTGGTCCGAAAATTTCAGGGCAGATAGATCTTGACCTAATGAACAATTTTATACTATCAGATTTGCTCTAAATGCTTTGGTTTCAGAGATATGAGCCAAAAACTGCATTTTACCCTATGTATTATTTTTTTGCCATGTCGGCCATCTTGGTTTGCGGGCAGGGTCATCGGACACATTTTTTAAACTAGATACCCTAATGATGATTGTGGACAATTTTGGTTAAATTTGTCTTAGTAGTTTCAGAGGAGAAGATTTTTGTAAAAGATTACAAAAATTTACGAAAAATGGTTAAAAATTGACTATAAAGGGCAATAACTCCTTAAGGGGTCAACTGACCATTTTGGTCAAGTTGACTTATTTGTAGATCATACTTTGCTGAACATTATTGCTGTTTACAGTTTATCTCTATCTATAATAATATTCAAGATAATAACCAAAAACGGCAAAATTTCCTTAAAATTACCAATTCAGGGGCAGCAACCCAACAACGGGTTGTCCGATTCATCTGAAGATTTCAGGGCAGATAGACCTTGACCTGATAAACAATTTTACCCCATGTCAGATTTGCTCTAAATGCTTTGGTTTCAGAGATATAAGGCAAAATCTACATTTTACCCCTATGTTCTATTTTTAGCCATGGCGGCCATCTTGGTTGGTTGGCGGGGTCATCGGTCACATTTTTTAAACTAGATACCCCAATGATGATTGTGGCCAAGTTTGGTCAAATTTGGCCCAGTAGTTTCAGAGGAGAAGATTTTTGTAAAAGTTTACGGACGACGGACGCAAAGTGATGAGAAAAGCTCACTTGACCTTTCAGGTCAGGTGAGCTAAAAAGATGTTACAAACTAATGTTCAAATGTTCTAATAAGTACCAGACTTGAATCCATCATGGCAAAACAGGTAAAAAGAAGTCAAAGAGACACCATGTACCTCAGTGGCATTAAAAAAGTACTTCTTTAAAAAATAAAACAGTAAAATACATAAACTGAAATGACTAGCCTGCTTTACTCATCATGATCGAATAAGGTCAGATGAACCCTGTCAGACATTTGTATGGCATTCAGTAATTCAATTTGTACCGATTATCAGGTTGTTTGTATGTTGAATATGTTGTAAAATATCAGTTGCGAGTCACAATATGACGCTTTTTGTCGATTGAGCGCAGCAAACGAGATAACAAATCCTTCATATTGTGTGGGGCAGCTGATTTTTTACAATATCAATATGCAGACAACTTGATAATTGATTTATCGGGCTTCTTTGCGTCTTTTGAAAGTGTTTTCTTAGTTTCACCAGCAATCGGAAGATGACTTGAAAAGTTCAGGTCAAACTTATTAACGTCGGTTTAAACATTGTGACGTCGCTGAATTGTCCAGCTGAAAGTAATTAAGGCCGGGTAGACGTATTTGACGTCACCAAGTCGTGATATGCAATTTAATTAAGAGCTGAGCAGAGTGATAAAGACAGTGGGAGGACCGATAAAGGAAATATAGTGGTCTGAAGTAACTGAGATAAAGGTATTACCACAAATACCTAATATTGACCAATGAACTAGAAAAGCGGTAAAGGTCAGATGAACCCTGTCAGCTGACAGATATGTACTAAAATAATTCAATATGCCCAATATAGTTGTCCTTTTCCCAAGTCTTTTGAGTTATGAACCTAAAAGGCTTTGATATAGAGGATGAAATTTTCTAAAAATTGACATTTCAGGGGCAATAATCCAATAGATTTTCCGATGTTTTGGAAAATTTTGAAGGTAATATGCTGATCATTTTAATCTAATGTCAGATTGCTTAGATTGAAAATACAAACAAAAAACTGCATGTTACCTTTATGTTCTATTCTAAGCAGCAACAGCAGCCATGTTTGTTGATGGATCAATTTCCCAGATAAAAGTTTATAACAATACAAGATACCATTGGATCATTTAAGTAAAGTTTGGTAAAATTCGAGCAAGTAGTTTCAGAGAAGGCTTTTTTTTTCAAAGTTTACAACGATGGACAGATGCCAAGTGATTGCAAAAGCTAAAGACCAGCTGGTGAGCTAAAAACGGGGTAAAGTACAATACAAATATGCCCGATGGATACGTAGGGCATCTGTTTATAAGGTAAGAAGCATTTATATCTTCTACCATCTAAACTATAAAGTGGACAGAAACAGAAGCTTACACAGATGCTAGATTACCATTCTTTACTCTTTCGCTAAAGCAAAATATCATGAGGTACAAAAAAAAACAAGTTATTTATATCTAACATTTTACGTAACCAAATGCACTTTACTTATCTTGATGATAATGAATTGATGATTTTCTTCACTCATATGCAAGCGGTTTTTCTTTGCAGTTGATTTTTGTTATTCTTGCTACAAATTATAAACCAGAAAATATATACCAGAGACAATAACCGAACAAAAGTCTAATTATCAATAAGTCTAAAAGAAAGATATGGAGGATAATTCTCAAATTTGTTGGCTATATTAACCATTCTAATATGACTTGCTTCTTTCGCTTTGTAAGTAACAGCGTGGTAAAATTCTCGATATATATCTATACTTAGCGCAGACTCAGAGATGTACATATTGATGGCTGTTATTAATTACCTTACATGTTAAACCACATGTATAGTAACCTATGTGAAAACACTATGTCGATTTCGTTGTGTTCGAATTGATATTGAAAAAGAATCAACAAAAACGTTATTCCTTATCTAATGCTTAACAAAAAGAATTAATGCACAAGAGCTTAAAAAATATATAAAATCAAAATAAAATAAAAATCCGCAAAATTTCATGAAAGCATTAAAATCTTGTCTTAACATGATGTCATTTGAATAAAAACTCTCAAGGTGAAGCTTTTCTGTTAAATATACAGCGTAGGTTCGGATAATATCGCATTAAAATGAGGTTTTAAAGTAGTTTTTTCATTTTCTATTCCATTGCATTATTCGCACATTTGTGGATTTCAGCAATTCAACATGGAGGATCACTCCTTAGTTATAACTTTTCAATTGTGGATTTGAAAGTAAAAAAGCCTTCAAAACGAGTTTGGGTTAAGATTTATGAGGATTGAACACATTTTTTCTAGTAGTTATTTAAGAAATAATTCATGCAAGACTTAAGATTTATTTAAAATTTGTAACTTTAATCTTACCAGCCATACCCAAGGCAATCTTGCATTTGCTTCAGTTTTTAAATTACCGTATTTGTACTATTTGTCCGATTAGAATCGAAATCATGGAAGCCATAGATTTGTTGGACATTTACACATGGCCTGGGCTGTGATGTTCGCTAATTTTCTTAAACGCTTAGGACAAAATTTGAATATCACGACCCAGCCGCCCAGGCCATGTGTAAATGTCGAACACATCTATTGCTTATATGAATTATTTCTTATTTATAATTAATTGCCACAACTGGAATCAAAATTCTTCAAAAAATAAAGTTGTTCCACATATCCCAACAAAACTCTTACCAGCTGATCATAAAATTATCAGTTCTAAGACATTTGTCAGCGAAGTGAAGAAATAAATCATAAATTTTTATATAAAGTTTATTAACATGTGTAACAATATTAACAAAATATACATCCTTTTGGCCACATTAACATCATGTTCCTTAATTAAAGCTTTCCCCTTTATAAAATTTTATTAATAAGAGGAAGAAAAACCTCTTCAATTATTATTTAGATATTTTTATATATTACCTCTTCGTGTAATTTTGATATGAAGAGGAAGATTTACCTCTCCTCTGTCTTTACCAACCTCCCTGTAAGATAAGAACCAATCAATACTTCACTTTTGAATGATTGACATGATAGGAATGCTACACTTAATTTAGTTATTTAACTTGTGCAAACTATAAATTTTGTCTAGTCCAATTAAAAGTATCAAATCTCAAAGTGCTTTGGTTTAACATATTTTGCTGTGTGATGTAAAATGACATCTTTTTCAACATCACGGCATTTAATGTCTAATCAGTTTACACTTTTGTTGTCGGTGAATATTTAGGTTAAGACTGGTTAAAATGTTTAATGTCTACCACTTCAAGAATTTTAAGTCCTCCTGCTTTTTGTTGAATCTTAAAAATGACATTGTAAAATAAGTATTGAATAAAAATCAGAAATCAGAAATCCAAGGTTGAGGGAGAGATATTTGTCCTTTTTTGTCCCACCTTAAAAAGTTTATTCAAATAAATTCAGCAATATTATTTTTAAATGATGACAAAAATAAATAACTAGAGGCTCTCAAGAGCCTGTGTCGCTCACCTGATTCTACTTTGGTTTTGGAAATCATGTAAAAATAGATTAAAATCATAACAGATACCCTAATAATGAGTGAGGCCAAATTTGGTTCAATATTGGTCCTGTAATTTAATAAAAAAATCCTGGTGGCCATCTTGAACAGTAAATCGGCAACAAAGTAGCAACACTTAATCAGCACCTCATAAGAAACATTTATGCCATGTTTTGGTTTCATTCCATTCAGTGCACCTCTAGAAGAAGCATTTGTATGTATTTCCCATAGGGTCTTATGTTAAAGGAAGTCCCCCCATTGGCTGCCATCATGGATGAAGGATCAGCTTCAAAGTAACAAAACTTAGTCAGCACCTCATAAGGAACATTCATGCCATGTTTGGTTTCAATCCATTCAGTATGTGGTTCTCTAAAAGAAGACATTTGTATGTATTGTCCATAGGGTCCTTTGTTAAACATTGTCCCCATCTGGCGGCCATCTTAGATTATGGATCGGCTTCATAGTAACAACACTTGGTCAGCACCTCATAAGGAACATTCATGCCATGTTTGGTTTCATTGCATTCAGTGGTTCTCTAAAAGAAGACATTTGTATGTATTTCTCATAGGGTCCTATGTTACACTAAGTCCCCCGCTGGCTGCCATCTTGGATTATGGATCAGCTTCAAAGTAACAACACTTGGTCAGCACCTCATAAGGAACATTCTTGCCATGTTTGGTTTCATTCCATTCAGTGGTTCTCTAAAAGAAGACGTTTGTATGTATTTCCCATAGGGTCCCATGTTAAACTAAGTCCCCTGTTGGCGGCCATCTTGGATTATGGATCAGCTTCAATGTAACAACACTCGGTCAGCACCTCATAAGGAACATTCATGCCATGTTTGGTTTCATTCCATTCAGTGGTTCTCTAAAAGAAGACATTTGTATGTATTTCTCATAGGGTCCCATGTTAAACTAAGTCCCCTGCAGGCGGCCATCTTGGATTATGGATCGGCTTCAAAGTAACAACACTCGGTCAGCACCTCATAAGAAACATTCATGCCATGTTTGGTTTCATTCCATTCAGTGGTTCTCTAAAAGAAGACATTTGTATGTATTTCCCATAGGGTCCAATGTTAAACTAAGTCCCCTGCTGGCGGCCATCTTGGATTATGGATCAGCTTCATAGTAACAACACTTGGTCAGCACCTCATAAGAAACATTCATGCCATGTTTGGTTTCATTCCATGCAGTGGTTCTCTAAAAGAAGACATTTGTATGTATTTCCCATAGGGTCCCATGTTAAACTAAGTCCCCCGCTGGCGGCCATCTTGGATTATGGATCAGCTTCAAAGTAACAACACTCGGTCAGCACCTCATAAGGAACATTCATGCCATGTTTGGTTTCATTCCATTCAGTGGTTCTCTAAAAGAAGACATTTGTATGTATTTCCCATAGGGTCCAATGTTAAACTAAGTCCCCTGCTGGCGGCCATCTTGGATTATGGATCGGCTTCAAAGTAACAACACTCGGTCAGCACCTCATAAGAAACATTCATGCCATGTTTGGTTTCATTCCATTCAGTGGTTCTCTAAAAGAAGACATTTGTATGTATTTCCTATAGGGTCCAATGTTAAACTAAGTCCCCTGCTGGCGGCCATCTTGGATTATGGATCAGCTTCATAGTAACAACACTTGGTCAGCACCTCATAAGGAACATTCATGCCATGTTTGGTTTCATTCCATTCAGTGGTTCTCTAAAAGAAGACATTTGTATGTATTTCCCGTAGGGTCCTATGTTAAACTAAGTCCCCCGCTGGCGGCCATCTTGGATTATGGATCGGCTTCAAAGTAACAACACTCGGTCAGCACCTCATAAGAAACATTCATGCCATGTTTGGTTTCATTCCATTCAGTGGTTCTCTAAAAGAAGACATTTGTATGTATTTCCCATAGGGTCCAATGTTAAACTAAGTCCCCTGTTGGCGGCCATCTTGGATTATGGATCAGCTTCATAGTAACAACACTTGGTCAGCACCTCATAAGGAACATTCATGCCATGTTTGGTTTCATTCCATTCAGTGGTTCTCTAAAAGAAGACATTTGTATGTATTTCTCATAGGGTCCCATGTTAAACTAAGTCCCCTGCAGGCGGCCATCTTGGATTATGGATCGGCTTCAAAGTAACAACACTCGGTCAGCACCTCATAAGAAACATTCTTGCCATGTTTGGTTTCATTCCATATAGTGGTTCTCTAAAAGAAGACATTTGTATGTATTTCCCATAGGGTCCCATGTTAAACTAAGTCCCCTGCTGGCGGCCATCTTGGATTATGGATCAGCTTCATAGTAACAACACTTGGTCAGCACCTCATAAGAAACATTCATGCCATGTTTGGTTTCATTCCATGCAGTGGTTCTCTAAAAGAAGACATTTGTATGTATTTCCCATAGGGTCCCATGTTAAACTAAGTCCCCCGCTGGCGGCCATCTTGGATTATGGATCAGCTTCAAAGTAACAACACTCGGTCAGCACCTCATAAGGAACATTCATGCCATGTTTGGTTTCATTCCATTCAGTGGTTCTCTAAAAGAAGACATTTGTATGTATTTCCCATAGGGTCCAATGTTAAACTAAGTCCCCCGCTGGCGGCCATCTTGGATTATGGATCGGCTTCAAAGTAACAACACTCGGTCAGCACCTCATAAGAAACATTCATGCCATGTTTGGTTTCATTCCATTCAGTGGTTCTCTAAAAGAAGACATTTGTATGTATTTCCTATAGGGTCCAATGTTAAACTAAGTCCCCTGCTGGCGGCCATCTTGGATTATGGATCAGCTTCATAGTAACAACACTTGGTCAGCACCTCATAAGGAACATTCATGCCATGTTTGGTTTCATTCCATTCAGTGGTTCTCTAAAAGAAGACATTTGTATGTATTTCCCGTAGGGTCCTATGTTAAACTAAGTCCCCCGCTGGCGGCCATCTTGGATTATGGATCGGCTTCAAAGTAACAACACTCGGTCAGCACCTCATAAGAAACATTCATGCCATGTTTGGTTTCATTCCATTCAGTGGTTCTCTAAAAGAAGACATTTGTATGTATTTCCCATAGGGTCCAATGTTAAACTAAGTCCCCTGCTGGTGGCCATCTTGGATTATGGATCAGCTTCATAGTAACAACACTTGGTCAGCACCTCATAAGGAACATTCATGCCATGTTTGGTTTCATTCCATTCAGTGGTTCTCTAAAAGAAGACATTTGTATGTATTTCCCATAGGGTCCCATGTTAAACTAAGTCCCCCGCTGGCGGCCATCTTGGATTATGGATCAGCTTCAAAGTAACAACACTCGGTCAGCACCTCATAAGGAACATTCATGCCATGTTTGGTTTCATTCCATTCAGTGGTTCTCTAAAAGAAGACATTTGTATGTATTTCCCATAGGGTCCTATGTTAAACTAAGTCCCCCGCTGGCGGCCATCTTGGATTATGGATCAGCTTCAAAGTAACAACACTCGGTCAGCACCTCATAAGAAACATTCATGCCATGTTTGGTTTCATTCTATTCAGTGGTTCTCTAAAAGAAGACATTTGTATGTATTTCCCATAGGGTCCTATGTTAAACTAAGTCCCCCGCTGGCGGCCATCTTGGATGATGGATCCGCTACAAAGTAACAACACTTGGTCAGCACCTCATAAGGAACATTCATGCCATGTTTGGTTTCATTCCATTCAGTGGTTCTCTAGAAGAAGTTCAAAATGTAGAAAGTTTACGCCGACGACGGACGACGCCGGACGACGGACGCCAAGTGATGAGAAAAGCTCACTTGGCCCTTCAGGCCAGGTGAGCTAAAAATAAACTGCAATCATCATATCAATAATGGAAATCAAATCACTAATTTTTGGGTATAAATATGAGTTAATTTCAATCAATAAAAGAACCAATCATTAGCAGTGATTTGTCCCATATCTGATTAAGGACTGTACGGACAGATAGGTCTGTGTTAGACTCAACATCATATTTTTATCCATAACTTTAAGCTTACTTCGAAATATAATCTACATTGTAATTAAGCCACACAAAAAAATGTAAAAGAAATAAATCAATTTAAGAACACTGACATGAGGCACATACATTTGGCAAGTCACTGGTTCAAAATTAAACATAATAAAATCATCTCCTTGATGTATAAACATAAAAAAAATACAACAATGCCACTTTTCAAAACAATGTTTTTTCTACAAAATTTGTTTCCTCACATTTCAGATGGTACAGTTTTGTGACATAAATAAATTGGAATACATGTTTATATTCAATAATATGGCATTGTAAATTATCAATGTGACACAATTCATTACTAAAATCTGGATTGTAAAAAATGTTCTAATTTTTATTTTAAAATCATGAATCAATTTTTGTATGGTCATATATTCATCAACTATTGACAGATATATGCCTCACCCACCTCTGTGCATTTCAATATTTGATGCAAATGTTGAAATTTAAATGGCAAACACATAAACAATGTAACATATTTTTGTTCAACAGACAGTGACCATGAGGACAGGGCTTAATATTCAAATTTCCACGAAAAGGAGATGCCTCTAGGTTAATACAACTGCATATCAAATATCATTGATGTACCAGTGTATCTAATCAATGACATTTTCAAATATTCCCAAAACATTTAAGTCTTAATATCAACCAATTGATGAAGATTGCTATTGAAATATACAAATACCTAGCAATTATCTGTAAATAAAAATTTTAAGTTAATATATATACCATGGTTAAGTTCTTTATTGTGAATGGAGACACCCCCACCCCCTCCCCACAAAAAAAAGAAGCAAACAAATAAACAATTGCAAGATTTCATTGGTTTTCTATTCTTCCAAGTTTTGAAATTCATTCTTTCCTCATTTTAAATAGATTGATATTTACAGAAAAACTCTTGTAACACAAAAAATATGAAAAACAAACAATTCTAAAAAAGGCTATTAAAATTACCATGATTAACAAATGATTAATAATGGTAAATTGTTTGATGGACAATTAATTGAGAGATTTTCTTTTCATGAAAGAGTTTTTTTCTTATGTCTATTGAAAAAGCTGGCTCCTACATCTTCCACCTATTATTTTTAGACGATTACTATTTTTAATGATTCACAAAATGAAATAAATACATCAATCATCTTATAGCAATACAATAATTTTATAAATGCAAGGACAAGATATGTTAAAATAAAAGTCTTAACGCCTAAAGAACAACGCCTCAAATGCAAATTAAGTCCTAAATACATGGGAGTATTGCATTACTCATCATTAAAGAACACTGCAACAATGTCAACAATATTATTTTAATACATAGTACACCTACAATTATGAACAAGAGTGCACACGCTGAAATGTCTCGCCTACTTTACTAATCATTGATATTATGTTGATAGTCCTATTATAAAGCTTTATTACAACTGTCACATAAACTTAACATTAACCAAGTAAACTAAACATTGACAAATGAACCATGAAAATGAGGTCAAGGTCAGATGAACCATGCTAGGCAGGCATGTACAGCTAACAATTCTTCCATACAACAAATATAGTTGACCTATTGCTTATAGTTTAAGTTTAAAACAGACCAAAACACAAAAACTTAACACTGAGCAATGAACCTTGAAAATGAGGTCAAGGTAAAAAAAAAACCTGCGTGACTGACAAATAGATCATAAAATATTTTCATACACCAAATATAGTTGAACTATTGCATATAGTATTAGAAAAAAAGACCAAAACTCAAAAACTTAACTTTGACCACTGAACCATGAAAATGAGGTCAAGGTCAGATGACACCTGCCAGCTAGACATGTACACCTTACAATCATTCCATACACCAAATATAGTAGACCTATTGCATACAGTATAAGAAAAACAGACCAAAACACAAAAACTTAACTATAACCACTGAACCATGAAAATGAGGTCAAGGTCAGATGACACCTGCCAGTTGGACATGTACACCTTACAGTCCTTCCATACACCAAATATACTAGACCTATTGCTTATAGTATCTGAGATATGGACTTGACCACCAAAACTTAACCTTGTTCACTGATCCATGAAATGAGGTCGAGGTCAAGTGAAAACTGTCTGACAGGCATGAGGACCTTGCAAGGTACGCACATACTAAATATAGTTATCCTATTACTTATAATAAGAGAGAATTTAACACTACAAAAAATCTTAACTTTTTTTTCAAGTAGTCACTGAACCATGAAAATGAGGTCAAGGACATTGGACATGTGACTGACGGAAACTTCGTAACATGAGGCATCCATATACAAAGTATGAAGCATCCAGGTCTTCCACCTTCTAAAATATAAAGCTTTTAAGAAGTTAGCTAACGCCGCCGCCTGATCACTATCCCTATGTCGAGCTTTCTGCGACAAAAGTCGCAGGCTCGACAAAAAACTGTTTTTGCCTCCAAATCTTTTACATTAATATATCTACTGGTCAAAAAAGTTTTTAGGTATACATGTAACAATAAGAGGGTATCATAACTAAGAGAGGTTTTGACTAGCACTAAAAAGCAAAATTGTTGTTTCTATTAACATCACTGAAGATAAAAAAAAAATCATATCTGTATTCCAACTAAACATAATGCTGAAAACGCAAGCAATAAACAAATATAACTTCAATAAAAAAACATGTTTCAACATCATCATGAATTTGAATTGTAACAGAATATGTGTCACCAATTACCACAGATATGTAATAACTTAATCCAATCCTCTTCCTTGATTGTCACATAGTCAACAATATTACCAAGAGGTATAAGTCAACAATATTACCAAGAGGTATAAGTCAACAATATTACCAAGAGGTATAGGTAACACATTCCTTGATTGTCACATAGTCAACAATATTACCAAGAGGTATAGGTAACACATTCCTTGATTGTCACATAGTCAACAATATTACCAAGAGGTATAGATTACACATTCCTTGATTGTCACATAGTCAACAATATTACCAAGAGGTATAGGTTACACATTCCTTGATTGTCACATAGTCAACAATATTACCAAGAGGTATAGGTAACACATTCCTTGATTGTCACATAGTCAACAATATTACCAAGAGGTATAGATTACACATTCCTTGATTGTCACATAGTCAACAATATTACCAAGAGGTATAGATTACACATTCCTTGATTGTCACATAGTCAACAATATTACCAAGAGGTATAGGTTACACATTCCTTGATTGTCACATAGTCAACAATATTACCAAGAGGTATAGATTACACATTTGTTTTACAAATAATCTCAGATAGGTAAACAAAAAAATAAAGTTGTGAACACAAAATGGTTGGTATTTTAACAAAAAGCACCAGAACATGTAAGTAAGGGATCAATTAAAGTACTTCCATACAAATTAAAGTCAAAATATACTTTTCGCTGGTGGCAGTGATAAATAATAGTTAAAAATCAGACAGGACATTTTGTAACTATTCATTTTCCTCTTTTCCCAAAAAATTCCTCATTATTTAAAAAGGTAAAAACATATTATTTGGTTGTTTTTTTTTTTCAGCAAATGAATGTTTTTCTCCAAGTTGTTGAACAACTGTTATGATGATCCCTTGAATGAACATGTTTTCAGTAAATCTCATAATTGTATACAAAAAAAAATACAAATATCGTTTGGAAAAATAATCTCACTTTGGTGCTTGTAAAAAATAAAAAAAAATAATAACTAATCAATTCAATTTTACTTATTACTGTTTTAATGCTGTCAATGTTCCCTTTTCTAGAGACATTAAGATGGTCCCTTTAATGAACACATTTTTTGGTAAGTCTTATAATTGTATACCAAAAAATTGCAATTATCATTTAAAAAAAAAATCTCACTATGCTAGTTTGCTAGTTACAAAAATAAAGAAAAAATATAAACTTGTGAACAAAAGTACAATAGTGTCAATTTTACTTATTACCAAGTATTGTTTTAATGCTGTCATTGTTCCTTTTCCCACAGACACAGCTGTACAGACATCAAATAAAAATATGATCTGTTTTCACGAATTAATGCCATTATAGCAGATGAGTATCACATGATGAATTTATATAAGAAAAAAAATATTGAAGATAAATTTCTTGTTTAAATCAAATACCTATAAGATGATCCCTTGTACCAAATCTATAGAGGGGAAATACTCTTTCTAAAAAGTCCTTTGATTGTCAAAGGTACATTAACACTCATAAATCTAATTCTTTAGATAACAAAGGGGCTTTACTCTTGAACAGCAAATGTCAAAACCATTAACATGAACATGACAAGTGTTTTATAGTCAATAATATTGCATTCCAATTTAAAATGATTTGGTCAAGTGGTATTATTATCATTATCATCCACAAACCAAAGAAAACAAATTTTTAAGATAACAAAGGGGCATAACTTTGAAGGGTAAATATCAAATCCATCAAAATTGAACTTGACATGCATTAATTTATCTTTTTACTCTTTTACCATCTTCCATAGATCAATTCAAAATATTGACTTTCAAATTTCATTCTCAACATCCCCAATAATTCTTAGGGCTGTTCCATAAAAACATACATGAAACCCAGGGAAGGCACTCCCAAATCTCAACTATGGGTGGGTGTCATCTATGTTTTTTGGAAATGTAAGTGAATTTTCAATTTGCCTCTATAGGTGGTTACCCCATTTTTAAAGTGCCTTCCCTGGGTACCATGTATGTTTTAATGGAACAGCCCTTAAACAGTTGTGAAGAGAACCTTTAAACTTTATTGAAAATCACCATTCCCATAATTCTTAACTATTGGAGAAGAGAGAACAAGAATCTTTAAATTGTATTGACATTATTTCTGCATAATTATATATCAGTGGATAAGAGATCTTTTAAACTTTTACTCTCTACATCATGCACAATTCTTCATCAGTTGGAAACTGTTTAAACCTTTACCAGTAACATTCTACATTTTTAAAAACTGACAGACCATGGTTAACATTTCAAAACATTAATATGACAATACATCTAAGCGACAGTCTTCAGACAAATTTCATCATCAAACACCATATTGCACGAACTTTCAGCACTAGTGGGATTCTTTACTTGACCTTTCAAATCAGCTCCTCTTCAGCAGTTCATACTCTTTTTTTAGGTTCCCAGCTTGGGAAAGTCATCTTCAAACAAGGCATGCCCTCGACATGTTGGGCAGGTTCTTTCTCTTTCATATACCCACTTACTAATGCACTACAAAAAATACAATGAGTTTAAAAATACATTGGAAATTCATTATTTAACAAGAGAACAGTGTCATTGATACACTACAAAAATGCAACGAGTTTATAAGTATTATGGGAAATTTATCATTCAACATGAGAAATGACAGCCATTGCTCTCTGTTGATTCCCTCCTAAAAGCATTCAGTATCAGGAAGGTGTTGAGCAATGAAGTTGAAGCTCATCATATGGTATAAAGCATGCTCACAAGAAGCTCGATACAAAATGTCAAGAATATCTGATTTGTAGTTCCTAATAAAAATAAAATGCTCCGCTGGGTGCAGCTTGATACGACCTCAGAGGTCGAACCCTGAACAGTTGGGGCAAATATGGACACAACATTCAAGCTTGATACAGCTCTGAATTTGGATTGTGATTAAATATTTGACACAGCATAGGTGGTCTAAGAACTTAAAATTTTTTAATTTACCTATTCAAACCATATCATTATAATTTGCTTTTATATATAAATCAGAAATAACCAACTTAAAATGGAAAATTTTAAAGAAAAAAACTAGAGGCTCTAAAGAGCCTGTGTCGCTCACCTTGGTCTATGTGAATATTAAACAAAGGACGCAGATGGATTCATGACAAAATTGTGTTTTGGTGATGGTGATGTGTTTGTACATCTTAATTTACTGAACATTTTTCCTGCTTACAATTATCTCTATCTATAATTAACTTGGCCCAGTAGTTTCAGAGGAGAAGATTTTTGTAAAAGATTACTAAGATTTACGAAAAAATGGTTAAAATTGACTATAAAGGGCAATAACTCCTAAAGGGGTCAACTGACAATTTCGGTCATGTTGACTTATTTGTAGATCTTACTTTGCCGACATTTATCGTTTTTTACAGTTTATCTCTATCTATAATAATATTCAAGATAATAACCAAAAACAGCAAAATTACCTTAAAATTACCAATTCAGGGGCAGCAACCCAACAACGGGTTGTCCGATTCATCTGAAAATTTCAGGGCAGATAGATCTTGACCTGATAAACAATTTTACTTCATGTCAGATTTGCTTTAAATGCTTTGGTTTTTGAGTTAAAAGCCAAAAACTGAATTTTACCCCCTATGTTCTATTTTTAGCCGTGGCGGCCATCTTGGTTGGTTGACCAGGTCACGCCACACATTTTTAAAACTAAATAACCAAATGATGATTGTGGCCAAGTTTGGTTTAATTTGGCCCAGTTGTTTCAGAGGAGAAGATTTTTGTAAAAGATTACTAAGATTTACGAAAAATGGTTAAAAATTGACTATAAAGAGCAATTACTCCTAAAGGGGTCAACTGACCATTTCGGTTATATTGACTTATTTGTAAATCTTACTTTGCTGAACATTATTGCTGTTTACAGTTTATCTCTATCTATAATAATATTCAAGATAATAACCAAAAACAGCAAAATTTCCTTAAAATTACCAATTCAGGGGCAGCAACCCAATAACGGGTTGTCCGATTCATCTGAAAATTTCAGGGCAGATAGATCTTGACCTGATGAACAATTTTACACCATGTCAGATTTGCTTTAAATGCTTTGGTTTTTGAGTTAAAAGCCAAAAACTGAATTTTACCCCTATGTTCTATTTTTAGCCGTGGCGGCCATCTTGGTTGGTTGACCAGGTCACACCACACATTTTTAAAACTAGATAACCAAATGATGATTGTTGCCAAGTTTGGTTTAATTTGGCCACGTAGTTTCAGAGGAGAAGATTTTTGTAAAAGATTACTAAGATTTACGAAAAATTGTTAAAAATTGACTATAAAGGGCAATAACTCCTAAAGGGGTCAACTGACCATTTCAGTCATGTTGACTTATTTGTTAATCTTACTTTGCTGAACATTATTGCTGTTTACAGTTTATCTCTATCTATAATAATATTCAAGATAATAACCAAAAACAGCAAAATTTCCTTAAAATTACCAATTCAGGGGCAGCAACCCAACAACAGGTTGTTCGATTCATCTGAAAATTTTAGGGCAGATAGATCTTGACCTGATAAACAATATTACTTCATGTCAGATTTGCTCTAAATGCTTTGGTTTTTGAGTTATAAGCCAAAAACTGCATTTTACCCCTATGTTTTATTTTTAGCTGTGGCGGCCATCTTGGTTGGTTGGCCGGGTCACGCCACACATTTTTTAAACTAGATACCCCAATGATGATTGTGGCCAAGTTTGGTTTAATTTGGCCCAGTTGTTTCAGAGGAGAAGATTTTTGTAAAAGATTACTAAGATTTACGAAAAATGGTTAAAAATTGACTATAAAGGACAATTTCTCCTAAAGGGGTCAACTGACCATTTCGGTTATATTGACTTATTTGTAAATCTTACTTTGCTGAACATTATTGCTGTTTACAGTTTATCTCTATCTATAATAATATTCAAGATAATAACCAAAAACAGCAAAATTTCCTTAAAATTACCAATTCAGGGGCAGCAACCCAATAACGGGTTGTCCGATTCATCTGAAAATTTCAGGGCAGATAGATCTTGACCTGATGAACAATTTTACCCCATGTCAGATTTGCTCTTAATGCTTTGGTTTTTGAGTTATAAGCTAAAAACTGCATTTTACCCCTATGTTCTATTTTTAGCCATGGCGGCCATCTTGGTTGGTTGACAGGGTCATGCCACACATTTTTAAAACTAGATACCCCAATGATGATTGTGGCCAAGTTTGGTTAAATTTGGCCCAGTAGTTTCAGAGGAGAAGATTTTTGTAAAAGTTTACGGACGACGGACGACGGACGCAAAGTGATGAGAAAAGCTCACTTGACCTTTCAGGTCAGGTGAGCTAAAAAAGGAGAAAAAAATCCCTCCTCCAAATTTTTTGAACCCCCTTATGATTCATCACCCCCAAACTCAATCCCAGCCTTCCCTTTGTGGTATGGTACCTTGCAGTACAATTTCAGAGAGATCCATACACTTGAACACAAGTTATTGTCTGGAAACTACAAAAATGCTTGTTTTTTGGCCCCTTTTTGGCCCCAAATTCCTAAATGTTTTAGGGCAATTACCCCCAAACTCAACCCCAGCTTTCCCTTTGTGATATGGAACATTGTAGTACAATTTCATAAAGAACCATACACTTACACACAAGTTATTGTCCTTAAACTAGAAAAATGCTTGTTTTTTGCCCTTTTTTGCCCCTAATTCCTAAAATTTTGAGGCAATTACCCCCATAATCAATCCCAGCCTTCCCTTTGGGGTATGGTACCTTTCAGTACAATTTCAGAGAGATCCATACACTTAACACAACAATTTATTGTCTGGAAACTAGAAAAATGCTTATTTTTGGCCCTTTATTCCTAAACATTTTGGGCAATTACCCCCAAACTCAATTCCAGCTTTCCCTTTATGATATGGAACCTTGTAGTACAATTTCAGAAAGATCCATACACTTACACATAAGTTATTGTCTGGAAGTTACAAAAATGCTTATTTTTGGCCCCTTTTTGGCCCCTAATTCCTTAACTGTTGGTACCATAACCCCCAAAATCAATCCCAACCTTCCTTTTGTGGTATAGAACCTTATGGTAAAATTTCATAGAGATCCATTCACTTAACTAAAGTAATTGTGCGAAAACCAAAGTGTCTTCGGACGACGACGACCCGACGTCATACCAATATACGACTGCAATTTGCGGTCGTATAAAAATTGAATAAATTGCCATTATGTGTAAGAATAAATAAGTATTCAGTTTTAAAACTAGAAGTTGAGAGATGAATTTTGAAAACACATCCAACAGTATATATGTTCACATGACTCATGGAAACAAATTGTAGGATGTTACGATTTGTAGTTCTTCTGAAAATTTCATGGGACAAGCAGATAAACCATTTTCCTGGGATGGGTGTATAATTATTTATAATTGTACTTCTGGCTACTTATTTTCACTGAAAATGGATGATTGGGGTTAAATGTCCAGTGACAAACATTACATGCACATAAGGATGAGAACCTGTTCATGTACAAAAGTCCTTTTTTCAATAACACATGTATAATACATCACAACAATGGAAAACTAGACAGGTCAGTGTGCTTCTTTTTTTTTAAGATACAAGAATTTGAGAATTACACATGTGAGCACCTGAAGTGATAAAATGTATTTTACACTTTTACTGACCTCAGTATGAAACTCATGTTTACAGTCTAACATCTTAGTCTCTCCATATGACAGCTCATCATGGCAAATCACACAGATGTCATCTTCATCGTCCTACAATAAAAAAGAAAAAAAATTTTTTAAATCAATGTTCAACTTTTCCAGACTTTGATTGGAGCTTGATATATCTTATAGACACTTATGTTTTGTGAAGACCAAGAAATACAGGGTTAGTCCCCAGGGGTCATCCCGACCCCCTGCCATTTGAGAAAGTTCTAATATCTTGTAAATGGTTGAGATCCCCACCCCTAAACCATATATATTCCTATTTGTCATGTCTCGAACATTTGAATGACGTATACGGTCAGTCCCCAGGGGTTCCCCCCACCCCCAATGTTCTAATATCTTGTAAATGGTTGAGATCCCCACCCCTAAACCATATATATTCCTGTTCGTCATGTAACGAACATTTGAATGACGTATAGGGTCAGTCCCCAGGGGTTCCCCCCACCCCCAATGTTTTTTTCGGTGGGGTTCATGTTGCTCAGTCTTTAGTTTTCTATGTTGTGTTATGTGTACTGTTGTTTGTTTGTCATTTTCTTCTTAACCATGGCATGGTCAGTTTATTTTCAACTTGTGAGTTTGAATGTCCCTTTGGTATCCTTCGCCTCACTCTGACTGTACATAATCAGGGACAGGAACAAATTAACAATAAATCAATGTTCTGCAAGATGGGACTAGATTATAAATGTGCGAAAAATTACTTTATAAAAGTGCCTTTTTGTAGTTTTGCTTGCTCATTATCAGGGGCCTACAAAGGGAAATTTAAAAATCTGTTTTTTTAACATAAAAAAAATTAGAACGTTATAAAAGGACATAATACAAGAATGGTACAAGTGACACTACCCAAAATTGTACTTGATGTGAGTTTTGTGATGTTAAGCATTGCATAAAAGGTTTCATAACATTTGGTTGAAGCAAACTAAAGTTAGAGAACAGAAATCAATTTTGGGACGTACAGCAATTTTTCCATTTGTAAAGGGGCATAACTCTAGGATCTTAAAAGTGACGCCACCAAAATTCAAACTTGATCTGTTTTTTTTGTGGTAATAAGCATTGTGTATTAGTTTCATAACATTTGGTTGAAGCAAACTAAAGTCAGAGAACGGAAACGAAAAATTCAGCAATTTTTCCATTTGTAAGGGGCATAACTTTATAACGGTACTAGTGACGCCACAAAAATTCAAACTCGATCTGTGTTTTGTGAAAATAAGCATTGTGTATAAGTTTCATAACATTTGGTTGAGGCAAACTAAAGTTAGAGAGTGGAAACCAATTTTGGGACGTACGTATGTATGGACGTACAGAATGACAAGGGTAAAACTTAATGCCCCCTCCGCTACGGCGGGGGCATAAAAAAAAATTTGTTTTTCTAAACCCAATAAGGTATGCACACATGTAGAATATGGTATTTGTTCAATTTGCCAACATTGGCTTATCACTGATTGCCTGATTCTTACATGGACCTGTACATTTTGTCACCTGTATATATAATAAACAGCTGCGCCATGAGGGCATGATACGCCCGTCGTCTTGTGTGTGAATTTTTATGCAATAAGCATAAATAGTTTCTGACATTCGGTGTGACATGCGAAAACCCCCCCTTTTTTTTTTACAAAAAACTCAATATCTCTAAAATTAAATTTTGAATCAAAACCAAAAAGTATACAGATCTTTAGATTAATATAACTAAGAAGTGTGTAAAATTTTAAGCAATAATCATAAATCGTTTTTGAGATACGGCGCGACATGTGAAAACCCCCCTTTAAAAAAAAAAAAAAATCAATATCTCAAAAATAAAATTTTGAATCAAAACCAAAAAGTATACAGATCTTTAGATTAATATTACTAAGAAGTGTGTAAAATTTTAAGCAATAATCATAAATCGTTTTTGAGATACGGCGCGACATGTGAAAACCCCCCTTTTAAAAAAAAAAATCAATATCTCAAAAATAAAATTTTGAATCAAAACCAAAGAGTATACAGATCTTTAGATTATTATTACTAAGAAGTGTGTAAAATTTTAAGCAATAATCATAAATCGTTTTTGAGATACGGCGTGACATGTGAAAAAACCCCTCCCCCTTTTTTTACAAAATACTCAATAACTCAAAAATAAAATTTTGAATCATCACCAAAAAGTATACAGATCTTAAGGTTAATATAACTAAGAAGTGTGTAAAGTTTTAAGCAATAATCATAAACTGTTTTTGAGATACGGCGCGACATGTGAAAAACCCCTCCCCCTTTTATAACAAAATACTCAATATCTCTAAAATTAAATTTTAAATCATCATCAAAAAGTATACAGATCTTAAGATTAATATAACTAAGAAGTGTGTAAAGTTTTAAGCAATAATCATAAATTGTTTTTGAGATACGACGCGACATGTGAAAAAAAACACACACCTGTTTTAGTTACTAAGTCCTGTAACTCAAAAAGTTTTAATCTTATTTTCACCAAAAAGTATACAGATCGTTTGACCATCATTAGAAACAACTATGTTAAGTTTCATGAAATTTGGATAAGTCATTCTCAAGTTACGGTGCGACATGTTTACGCCGGACAGACAGACGGACGGACGCCGGACATTTGTATAACATAATACGTCCCGTCAAAAATTTGACGGGCGTATAAAAATAAGGAGATGTGGTATGATTGCCATTGAGACATCTATCCACCCAAGTTCAAATAAAGTGGATGTAAGCAATTATAGGCAACCGTACGGCCTTCTACAAGGAGAAAAACCCATGCCGTATAGTAGGCTATAAAAGGCCCCGACAATCTGTCAATTTAATATAAAGGAAACATTTAAATACAATTTTTATCAAGTTATAAGTCACCTAAGTTTTATTGGGGAATTCATCTTGTTAAATTGTCATTTATGGTGATAATACAAAAATAAATGATCATTTAGGTATAATTAGCACTTTCCTTTAATTCAGTTTCCCAAGTGTAATGTTGAACTAAACATCCAGGAGTTTAAACTTGTGGGATGGCAAATATAATCCTGCAGCTTATGCAAGAAAGTGTTGTTTGCATTTATAATCTTACAATGATACGATATAGTCTTAGGTCCGATTTCATATCTGTTTCTAAGGAACATTCATAGCAACTGTAAGATTCATCTGGAATACTGTCTTATTTTGCTCCTTGTTTCAGTAATATGTGGTATTTTACTTAATGCTCTAACAATAGTGTGCTTTTTTAGTATACCATGTCAAATCACAAATCAGGATTAGTTTGCCTTTTAACTGATAACAGAAAAATGTAATTTTTTTGTTTTTTCATAAGAGATACAAATAAAATAATCATCCTTTGTTTAGATTTCTAACATAAAAATATGAAAAGTGAGAGTACCAGTGAACTTAATATAGGTTCTAAGAGTAGACAAGAGTGCACACGCTGAAATGTCTCGCCTGCTTTACTGACCATTGATTTTATGCTGATAGTCCTAAATATAAAGTTTTACTACAAGTACCACATAAACTTAACATAATCAAAGAAAATGCGGTCAAGGTTAAGGTTAGATAAACCAAGCCAAAAATAATGTACACCTTAAAATCATTCCATACACCAAATATAGTTGACCTATTGCTTATAGTATACAAGAAACAGACCATGAAAACTTTATATTGAGCAAAGAACCATGAAAATGGGGTCAAGGTCAGATGAGCCAGACAGACATGTACACCTTACAATCATTTTATGCATTAAATATAGTTGACCCAGTGAACATAGTATCTAGGAAACAAACTTAACCAGGAAAACTTAAAATTGATCAATCAACCATAAAAATGAGGTCAAGATCATATGAACCCTGCCAGACAGACATGTACACCTTACAATCATTACATGCTTAAAATATAGTTGACCTATTGCATATAGTATGTAAGAAACAAACTTAACCATGAAAACTTGACATTAACCAATGAACCATGAAAATGAGGTCAAGTACAGATGATAACTGCCATACAGACATATACATCTTACAATCATTCCATACACCAATTGTAGTTGACCTATTGCTCATAGTTTAAGAAAAACAGAACAAAACACAAAAACTTAACATTGAGCAATGAACCGAAAAAATAGGGTCAAGGTCAAATAAAACCTGCCAGACTGAAACGTACATTGTAAAATATTTTCATCCACCAAATATAGTTGACCTTTTGCATACAGTATTAGAATAAACTGCTTCGCTGAGTGCAGCTGGATACGCCCGCAGAGGTCCAACCCTGAACAGTTTGGGCAAAAATGGACACAATATTCAAGCTTGATACAGGTCTGAATTTGGATTGTATTAAACATTTGACATATTATATGTTTCTGAATAAATGTAGTCAAAGAACTTGAAATTGGTTATATGAATTGAATTTATATTCAATTAAAGATTTCTTGCTGTTGTGCAATACACTGTCAGTGATCTGGAAGGATTTTTTCTCTATGGGCCCAGGGCTCCCATAAAATAAATTCAATGGGCCATTTTTAGAATTAATGGGCCATGTTGTCAAATGAGTGGGCCATTCGTTTACAACAAGAAATGATTGTAACAGGATGCTGTTACGAAGTCTCCCAAACAAAACTCCCATAATTTGTAATTCCCAGGGTCGCCTGACATTGGGCAACGTCCAGTGAAAATTGGTTTGGTCCAGTAAAGTAATATGCATTAGTGATACCTGGGGACTAACCTTGTATATCATTCAAATCATCTTGGCATGACAAACGAGAATATATATGGTTTAAGGGTGGGGATCTCGACCATTTACAAGATACTAGAACATTGGGGGTGGGGGGAACCCCTGGGGACTGACCCTATACGTCATTCAAATGTTCGTTACATGACGAACAGGAATATATATGGTTTAGGGGTGGGGATCTCAACCATTTACAAGATATTAGAACATTGGGGGTGGGGGGAACCCCTGGGGACTGACCGTATACGTCATTCAAATGTTCGAGACATGACAAATAGGAATATATATGACCCCTGGGGACTAACCCTGTCAGTGTTCCCTCCTGCCCTAAATAGAAGGGTGGCCCGCCCTTGGTGCCCTTACCCCCGCCCTTCTGCCCTCCAAAGTAAAAGAATGCACCCCTCTGCCTTTTCAAAAAAATTAAATTTCCAAATTTCATGACTACCGGCGTTTCCGGTAAAATTGTTACCTGATTGTGTAACACTAATTAACTGACAATGGGATTAAGTTAAATACCTAATGCTTTGGCAGTTTTATCACCTTTGTTAATGATTGTTTACTGCTAATTAGTGGATTTAAGATAATTGAACAAATACTAGATATTTAATACAGAATGAAATGTCCACATGTTATCCATTTGTAATGTTTATGTACAGCATGTACATCTGAAAAAATTTATTCCAGTAGGCATAACATAATAAATAAAATCTTAAACAATTTTAAAGGCATACATAGTTTTGACATAATTGGTAAAAAATGTTTTGTTTCATAACCAATCAGTATGAAATTTAAAGAAGAATCAAAGAAATTTGTACTTTGAACATAACAAGATTCACTTCCTGTTTTACTTCTTGTATTTTATAATCCTCCTGACATAGGAGCACTCAACAAATTTATTTTTAACAATGATGGAGAAAAAAGTAACTGTTTATACCTTCTGCAATATATTATTGCATCAATATAATATGATCATCTCCTGTCTCACCTGTTATATTTATAAAACTCCTTACTGACGAGCACTTTGGTGTGCACTTAAAAATACTTTTTTGTAACAATTCAAATGATAATAAATAACTCTCAATAACATATATACTATATGTTTGAACAAGTAATTTAAATGTAGATAATATAATTACATTAAACATTCAATTCCATCTTTCAAAACTACTTGTTTATTTTTATAGACTGGTATAAGTTATAAAACATTGAAATTTCTGATGATTATTTTCCTTACCAAATGTACAAGTTTGTTTAGAATAACATCAAAATGATATGCTTTGCTTCATGGTATGATAGTTTGATAAAAAAAAAAATCTTATTGGAACCAAAATCAAGAACACATTAATTTCTGAATATGGTTTAAATACAACTAATGTTCTTCAGCTGAGCCTAGCAATATTCAAGGTTACTTTATACACTGTCCAACAGTGCCCTTAAAATCTGGGTTATAACGCTAAAGTGCCCTTTCAGACAACTAGCACCCTTCTGCCCTGAGATTCAAACTGGAACACTGCCTGTATATCATTCAAACCATCTTAGCATGACAAACCAAAATATATATGGTTTAAGGGTGGGGATCTCGACCACTCACAAGGTATTAGAACTTTCTTAAATGGCAGGGGGTGGGGGTGACCCCTGGGGACTAACCCTGTATTTCATTTAATGGGCTTTATCATTTAGAACATTTTCAATTAAAAAGATTGTGTCTATCACAAACGGTTTTCAATTTATAATCATTTGAAAATTTAAAAAAATAAAATCCCATAGGGTTCTATAGTAAAACCCTCTTTTCTTTTTGCCCCTCAAAGTACCCCTTTATAAACCCCATTGCACAAACAAAACCCTGATTACACCACTAGACATGTTAGTCTAACATATTGTGAAACCCTAAGTTAATCTGACAAGCGGTTTTGGAGAACGGGTGCGGACAAGTTCAAATTTAAAAGCGGCGGAAGAGGAAGAAGAAGAAGAAGAAGAAGAAGAATAATAATAATACAGCAGATTTCATTGAGTGTGTAGGGAAAGGTAGAATCCTTGGTTAGCTTGCTTGTAAGCTGAACCGTGAAGTCATTATTAGGTAAGGTATACTACCCTCCTTTCGAAGTAGTCTAGTCTTACAGACAGATAAATTGGTTATCTGTCGGACTAGTCTACTCTTAAAGGAGGGTAGTTTACCTAACCTAATAATGACTTCACGGTTCAGCTAACAAGCAAGCTAACCAAGGATTCTACCTTTCCCTACACACTCAATGAAATCGGCTGTAATAAGAACTGAGCAAAAACAATAAGTCTTCCCAAACTTCGTTTGGGAGACTTAATAAATAATTTAAAAATAAAATGTATATTTCAGCAACGAGGCAGTGGTACTTACAGTACCTGTATGATTCTAATTGATATCATGGATATTGTTCCTGTGCTTTGTAATTTCAATTTCAATGAATGTACAATAATTTCTTCCAAACCGTGCAATATTTACGATAACCTTTATTTACAACTGGTACTGTTGCCTTGTTCATGTTCATGTTTTTCTTTACATTAAATTTGGGTCTTAGTCGATTGCCATACTTTATTCCAGACATTCCGTATTAGAGGACGTTTCTGGCATTTCCTCTGCACTTCTTGTATTATTATTACTTCATCGCCATGACAAGAATAACAGTAGAGAGTAAAGTTAATTGATAAGACAAAACAACAATTCGCTGAAGGCATGTTTACAAAATTTTCAAACGAGCCAAAGACCAAAAAATTGACAAGGACAGTTAAGCGCCTTTTATGGAAACTACATTCATAAAAAGGCTTTTGGGTTTTTCAATCGAAATAATAGCAAGCTTACTTAAAAGATTATAATTAGAGAAAAATTTTCGACTGTACTAGCCAAATTTCACAAATTTAAAGTTGTTTATAAAAATTTATATCATGAATGATGGTTTATTACGTATTTTGGGTAATCAGTTATACCGCATGTTGCTATTATTACCATAGAAAAAACGCCCGAGACTTCCCAAAAATTAATAGGTGGTGCTCCTATCATTGGAGGGAACACTACACAGTTTTGTACACACACATGGCGACACGATTCACGATCGGAAATCCATTTTACAATATCTAAAGTTTAAAAACGAAGTGAAAAATATTGTGCGCCATGTGGGCGCTTACATTTGTCATCCTATGCGACATTTATGGTCGAAAAGCGCAATTGGCGCATGGCGCACGTCCTTCCTGATCACTGCACTGTGCTGTTTTGACATGTTAGCTCACAAATAATCATACCACCAAATATGAATTTAATACTTATACTTTTTCAATATCATGGTTTTGTCCTTCAGGACCAAGTATCAAACCCATGGTATTTTGACCTAATGACCTTAACAAAGCAGTTCAATAATTTTGTTATTATAATGAACACTTCGTTGAGTTGGTCTGTCCAAAAAAAAAAGGTCAATCTGGATAACACATAAACCTCCATCGCTTGAATCAACAATGCTTTCTCGAAGTAACTTTAAATTACTTTGTTCCTTTATAATGGAAATTTGATCAAAATGTTTGTATGACCACGAACTGTCATCAAAGAATTGATTCAATTAGATGAATGCATATTCTAATAAAAAACAACTTACAATTACTATTACTACTTAGCAATGATGGTGACTAACCTGCAGTCACTTACAATTTCAGTTTAGGGTCTTAAATGTCCTACACGGCAACATAATGCATTAAGTCACATGGCACTTACATTTGATTTTACTGATGTATTCAAAGCTTGCTTGGCCTTCATGGCATTGTATACTTTTATCCGATTGGCTCTCTCTTCCACTGTTTCCATAGTGACCTGATTGGATGGATGACCAGTAGCAATATTCTGAAGCTCTGCCTTCCTCCTGCCAGTCATTGTTGAGGACTTGCCTTTGACATCTGATGCCTGCATAGGTCTCTGTTTTTTAAATACAGTTAGTACAACCATTAAAATTATTATAACATGACGAAATATATTTTAAATAAACTGTTAACACAGAGATATGTCTCGCCTTTTTGTACTTTTGATAATGCAAATGTTGAAATTAAACAAGCATTCTGTGAGTATTGCATGGCAATACATAGTCCCCTACCGGTTAAAAATTCATTGTAATGGATCAAACCTACCACTAAATTCTTCAAACAATTTACTAAAGAAACGGAAAAAAATCCAAAATGTCATTTATCTTAATACAATGTCTTTTACAAATCTTTAAAAAAAAAATGAGTTATTTCCCTTTGAACAGAAATCTAGTAATTTATAAGTATTTCATCAAAAAATTTAATTCTAGGCAAAGTTAAAAAATTAGTTAATTCCCTTTGAACAGAAATCTAGTATTTAATAAGTATTTCATCAAAAATTTAATTCTAGGGAAAAGGCTTTAACTGAACAAGGAGTAAAGCTAAAATCGTGAATATTGAACTTGACCTGTAACTTGTCATAAAACAATACACCAAATATCAAATCAATATCTTCAAGCATGAAGAAAAAAAGTCTGGAAAACTGATTTGCTGGACTGACGGATGGACAGACGGACAAACTGAGTGCAAACCTAAAGTCCCTTTCGACTTCAGGCCAAATAATCTCCATGGAAATGAGATATGCCAATGCTTATACAACTGCACATCAAATATCATTGACTTACCACTAGTGGTTCCCCATAAACTGACCTAATCACAAACTAATACATGTAAACTAAGCAAAAGTTTCAAAGTCAATAGACCATGACTGAGGGGGAAGGGCCAAATAATCTCCATGGAAATGAGATGTGCCAGTGCTAATACAGCTGCATACCAAATATCATTGACCAACCACTAGTGGTTCACCTTAAACTAGACCTAATCACAAACAAATATATTGTTGATGCCACCGCCGGAAACAGCATACCTATGGCTCGCTTTTTGACTCCCGTCAAGGCGAGACATTAAAACTAAAAAAATTCAAAGGACATAGAAATAAAATCTATGTTTATTTTTCACAAATATGTTTGGATAAGAGATCAACATGAGGCTAACAATTTAATTTCTTCCTTTGGAAGACAATAATTTTATTAGAAGTGTTTACACACATTCTACTAATTTAAAACATCACAGGCTGATAGGACCATGTGTTGCTACCTTTCAGATTCTTTAACTTGCAAGAAAAATTCGTAAGGGTTCCGCGGAACCCAGTGTCTCGCCTACTTTTTCTGTTAATCGCAGGCTCAACAAAAATGAGGAAGTAAATCAATAAAAATATTCCTCTTGATACTATCTTTTGATTGTAAGAAGCTTCTGTCCAAGTTTGGTAAAAATACAGGATAGTTTATGAATCTAATAAATGTTTAAAAACTTTAACTGCAGACTGAATGTAATGTTAACTGGAAGAAAACAAAATTTCCTTCTAGATACTAGCATTTGATCATAAACAAGCTTCTGTCCAAGTTTGGTACAAATCCAAAATAGTGTAAGAAAGTTATAAAAATTTTAAAAACTTTAACCACAGAGTGAATATGTTGTTTCCTGGCAGAAAATCTAAGTCCATTTAAAAGTAAAATACGGGAAAAATGGATTTATTTTTTTACAAAATGTCCTTCTAGATACTAGCATTTGATCATAAACAAGCTTCTGTCCAAGTTTGGTACAAATCCAAAAAAATGTAAGAAAGTTATTAAAATTTTAAAAACTTTAACCACACAGTGAATATGTTGTTTCCTGGCAGAAAATCTAAGTCCATTTAAAAGTAAAATACGGAAAAAATGGATTTATTTTTTTTTAAATTTCCTTCTAGATACTAGCATTTGATCAAAAACAAGCTTCTGTCCAAGTTTGGTACAAATCCAAAATAGTGTAAGAAAGTTATTAAAATTTTAAAAACTTTAACCACAGAGTGAATGTGTTGTTTCCTGGCAGAAAATCTAAGTCCATTTAAAAGTAAAATAAGGAAAAAATGGATTTATATTTTTACAAAATTTACTTCTAGATACTATCTTATGATCATAAACAAGCTTCTGTCCAAGTTTGGTACAAACCCAGGATAGTTTAAGAAAGTTATTAAAATTTTAAAAACTTTAACCACAGAGTGAATGTAATATTTCTCTGCAGAAAAACTAAGTCCATTTATAAGTAAAATACGGAAAAAACGGAATTTTATTTTTACAAAATTTACTTCTGGATACTATCTTATGATCATAAACAAGCTTCTGTCCAAGTTTGGTAGAAATCCAGGATAGTTTAAGAAAGTTATTAAAATTTCAAAAACTTTAACCACAGAGTGAATATTTGTGGACGCCGCCGACGACAACGACGACGACGACGACGCCGACGGAATGTAGGATCGCTATGTCTCGCTTTTTCGACAAAAGTCGAAGGCTCGACAAAAAGAAAAAGAAAGCAAAATTGAAGACATTATTTCATAAACATTCAGAATTTTATTAGACATATAATTTGTAAGTAGGATCTTGCTTACCCTTCTAGATCACCATAGATCACCCGAGTTTTATGCTGATAGCTCAGTGCTTAATGTAGCGTTTTTTAGAATGAAATTTGTCTTTTTTCTATGGCATGGTCAGTTTTTCTTTCCTTCATGATTTTGTTGTTGTCCTTTTGGTATCTTATGCATCTTTTTTTTTTAACTTATAAGAATTTACAATACGTATATTCAAATACAAATTTTTGTATTTATTCTTGACAAGCAGCCAATTTGTTCCTGAAGTTGCGGTATCAGAGAGCCAAAAATATTTTTATACAACCTCATTTTTATCTAAATTAATGCTGCAAAGATTAAAATCAAAAGAAACACAATAATCTTTACCACAATTTCTAGCTTTCAATTTTTCAGGATCCATGTATTGAAATTTAGTGCTTATAGATAAGAAGATGTGGTATGAGTGCCAATGAGACAACTCTCCATCCAAGTCACAATGTGTAAAAAGTAAACAATTACAGGTCAAAGTACGGCCTCGGCTCACAATGAACAGCAAGCTATAAAGGGCCCAAAAATGACAAGTGTAAAACAATTCAAACAGGAAAACCAATGGTCTTATCTTTATAAATAGCGAGAAACACTTATGAACCACATCAACAAACGACAACCACTGAACAACAGGCTCCTGACTTAGGACAGGTGCATACAAATGCAGCGGGTTTTAACAGGCTCGTCCTATTGTTTTAGTCTACTGTTGGAGGCAAATTGTAGGTTTATAGATATTTATTTGTGCCATTTGGTTGCTGTTAAATTGATGTATAGTCAAACCTGCTTAAGAGATCACCTGTATTAAACAAAACCCTGTGTTATAAGACCATTCATTTTAGGTCCCTCTGTAGTGTATTCCATATAAATTGTACCTGTATTAAATAAACTGTTGACACAGAGATATGTCTCTCCTGTCTGCATAAAATTCAGAAAATGACAATCTGATGGACAGCAACATTGCTTATTAATTCAAAGTTGATGGACCATGATCTTGTGGGCAGGGCATCAAAATAGTCATCAAACTGATGTGTACTAATAGTAATTTAAATATCAATGATCTATTACAAGTAGTTCCTATCAAACTAACTTAAGCAGAAAACTTAACAATTGTTGACGCCACCGCCACAACTGTTGCCGCAGCTGTCGCCAGAAAAGCAAGCCCTATGTCTCGCTTTCCATAACTTTCGTGGCAGGCGAGACAAAAAACACCTGTCTTATGAGACTAATTTTTGCTCTCCCTTAAGTGGTCTCTTAAAACAGGTTTCACTGTATATCATATCTCCTTTAATCCATATCCTTAGTTCATTGTTACTACTACAAACCTGATTATTTGTCATTTTGTGTTCATATTTTCTAATTATAACAGTTCTGGCAATCTCCATGATTTCTTTAACAGTCAGACCACTTAGTCCACCTCTGACCAATCGTACCTCTTGAATAACATCCATCACTTGTGGCCTGTAATCAACAAATACACATACACACATAGATTTAAGATCTCATATATTTCTGTTCTAAAATGGTTGTCTTTTTAATATTCTTTGTTCTGAAAAATTTTGTTTTGGTCTTCATATGACATGAGAAATTTTTGTATTTATCTTTATATATAAATATGGATTTGGTCATTTACATCCTTCCATGGTGGTAGTGTGTATAGAGTGGACAAAACTTCTAGATTATCTATTATATGCCTATATTATAGTTTGGTTCCAATTTTTCTGGGTGTGATCCAATTTGAAACACCCAAGTCATGTGATTATGTCAGAAATCTATGCAGTGCTGGGATCAACACACTGTCTACATAAAATATCAACTTAAGGGTTATGTCACCTTATCATAGATTTTCACCAGGTCAAAATAGAAAAGTGCAGCCAAAATTTTTTGAGTGGAAATTTCTTAAAATCATTTGTTTTGTTGAATTCCCCACTGTAAAACACTAGGCAGATCCATACAAAAATGTCTCGATACAAATGTCACAAATTTTCAACATCCACATTGAAACAAATTATCTCAGAATTCTATTTATATATGGACATCTCATCATAAAATATGACTATTAAAAGTACTTTGAAAAATACTTTGAAAAAAGATGTTCAGCTTTTGAATTCAATATCTGTACAAAACCTGAATTCTAATTTGAGTGGACAGGAGAAAATGACAAAATCTACATGATTTGATTGATTGATTGATTGTAAGTTGCTTAATGTCCAGTGGCAAATATTTCATGCATGTTCAGGATGACAATTCTACACGAGCTGTATCTTCACATTCTGTTTTGAAAGGTCTGATAAGATAGCAACTGCTCTTAACAAAAACTTACATTCAAGCAAAGAAAAGTTAGTCCAAGGCAGATATTGATAGTCTGATCTTTAATTCATTCACAAGTGTTATATTTTTGGCGATATTTTGACATACTGTAAAGAGCTATTGTGTAAAAGTTGTTTGACAGAGAAAAAGACTCTTATTTTAGAAAAAATTGATAAGTGGTGATTATATAAGAAAGATAGCCTGAACAATTATAGGAAATAATCAACCAAAATTTTAAGCATTGCTGGGATAAAATAAAATGTGCCTTCTGCCCCGCACCCCCCAAACATTTAGTTATTTGCCATTTTGTATAAGTTAGAATACCCATATTATTTTTAGGTCTTTAACAAACTGTGCATTCAAATTTGCAGGAAATGCAAAACACAGTTAGAACCACAAGATGCACACATTCTGTTTTGCCAAAGTTTTCAATCATGTCCATTTTACAATACCTTGTAAGACCTGTATAGACTTCCATTAACATCTGAACTAGTCTGTCAAAGTTGTTACTTTTGGTTGTCTTTTCTGCTGCAGATTTGTGTCGTATCCTACTTGCTGCTGGTTTCTTAATATCTGATGGTTTTGTTTCTTTTCTTTTCTTTTTGGTCACCTAAAAAATTCAAATGTGTTTAAAATATTATAAAGAGATTTAAGGATTTTTCTAGTCTTTGTATCTTATCATCATACTCTGGTGGATAGTTGCCTCATTGGCAATCATATCACAACTCCTTATTTTTATATTTATATACAGTTTTTCGTTGTTTACTAATTTACAGAGATACATTTGCAAGTTTTCAGTAAAAAATTTTCTTTGTGTCTTTTATTTCAGATATGATCCTTGTTATCGAACAAGTTGGCACTCTGAGGCGGGTGGGGAGCAAGAAGGTGAACTGTGGTTTATTTTTATCAATAGTACCGCTTAAGTCGACGCTAGGGGCCGTCTTGACCTTGTTGTAGGGTATGAATGATTCATTTATTGTTGAAGACCCTACATCAACTGTCAAGATGAAGAACAGGAATAAAAGCCCTGTTCATTGATAATTTTCTATGTTTTCTATGTATTGTGTGCGATTTTGTCCAATGTACATTTACTCCATATCCTTTCATTTTCTTACTTACTGATTCTCTGACTAAACTTATTCTTAAAGGTTATCAGTTTTAACATAGTAGTAAAATCTTAAATATTGTTCTTGTCGGTACTAACATTGATTTTTGTTGCTTTTTAGGAACAGTTCTTATTATCCTTCATCCTGTCAATACTATTAACTTATATTTTGGCATTGCACAATGTAATGTGTTTCTTAGACTGTTTATGAAGTCTTTACACTAAATCCGTTAGATGTGGACGATTGATACCTAAGTCTGGGAGAATAAGATTTATTTATCAGTTGCAATTGGCTTTGAACTAGCTTTCAGGAACTGTGAGTACTCTTATATTGCTGGTTGTGTCTTTTATGTTAGTTGTTTTTGTGCCTCATACATACCCTTTAGATTAAGCCATTTGCAAATGACTTTCAGTTTGTTCTTATTTTAAGCTGTTACACCGCTGTCCAAGATTGTGTAGAGGATTGAGTGTTTTAACAAACAAGTTCAACCCTGCAACATTCTATATGTGCCTGTCCTAATTTAGGAACCTGAAGTTTAGTGATTGTCATTGGTTCATGTCTTTCATGTATGTATTTCGTTTATGGTTTTGTTATAAATTGGGCTGTTAGTTTTCTAGTTTGAATTAACTCACACTTTTTTATTGTCAGGGCCTTTTATTGGCCACTATACAGTTTGGGTTTTTCTCATTGTTGAAAGGCTGTACAGTGGCCAATAAATTTCTATATCCACTTCATTTAAACTCTGGTAGATTAATCAAACAGAGATAAAAAAAAAAATATCAAAATATTCGCTGATTCACAGGTTAACAGAAAGTAAAAATGTTTTGGTATTACAAGTCTTTTATAAGTTTCCCGGACAGATTAACTTTGTTTGTCTGGGATTAGCTCAAGACATTATAACTGATAATGCATGCAACAGCCATAAATCTCTATATATAATTGTTTACTGTATACACATTACAGCTTGTCCATTTTTTCACTTCTCAATTTTTGTCAATGAGAAAATGAGGATTAACCAAAGTGTTATCACAGCAAACAAACTATACAGATGCTACAAAAAGAGACATAAAACATAGTGCGATGTACAGTGTCATATGAAAATTTCAAAAGTCTAATCTTGGAATTGTACAGAATGATCTATGTATTAATAAAATAAAATAATAGTATAAATAAATAAAATCAATATTTATATTAGATAATTAAGAAAGCAAATTTACTTGGGTACACAATATTCTCTACAACAGCAAGCAGATAGGATAGAATGCATAAAGGGTGCAAAAATGTAGAAATGAGATGGTGTTATCTCCCTTATAAATGTCTTCATTTCTCGTTTCGATTTTGTGAAGAAAAAAAAAAAGGGAAACATGACAATCTTACAAGGTAAAATTGCAGTTTTTTACTTTTATTCCATAAAATATAAAATGCTTTGCTGAGCGCAACCTGATACGACCGCAGAGGTCCAACCCTGAACAGTTTGGGCAAATTTGGACACAATATTCAAGCTTGATACTGTCTCAATTTGGATTGTGATCAAATTTTTACATAATATAAGTTTCTGACACAAAATAAATGTGGTCAAAGATCTTACAAATCTATTGTGCAATACTGTGCAATTGAAGATTTCTTCTTGAAACTTTTCAAAAATTAGAAATTTGAAAAATTTTGAAAAAAAATATGAATCCCTTAAAAATTGGAAAAAAAATCCCCCCCCCCCCCCCCCCACTTTTTAAAACCCCCTTGGAGCAATAACCCTATAACTCTATCCCAGCCTTTCCTTTGTAGTATGGAACATTGTAGTACAATTTCAGAGAGATCCATACACTTAAACACAAGTTATTGTCTGGAAACTAGAAAAATGCTTGTTTTTGGCCCTTTTTTTGACACTAATTCCTACATGTCTGGGGCAATTAACCCCAAACTCAATCACAGCCTTCCCTTTTTTATATGGAACCTTGTGGTACAATGTCAGAGAGATCCATACACTTACACACAAGTTATTATCTGGAAACTAGAAAAATTCTTGTTTTTGGCCCCTTTTTGGCCCTTAATTCCTAAACTGTTGGCCCCATAACCCCTAAAATGAATCCCAACCTTCTACTTGTGGTATTAAACATTGTGGTACAATTTCAGAGCAATTGAAATACTTATACACAAGTTATTATCCTGAAACTAGAAAAATGCTTGTTTTGGGCCCCTTTTGGGCCCTAATTCCTAAACGGTTGGGACCATCATCCCCAAAATCAATCCAAACCTTCCTTTTGTGGTATTGAACCTTCTTAAAAAATTTCATAGAGATCCAATCACTTTAACTAAAGTTATTGTCCAGAAACCAATGTGTCTTCGGACGACGACGCAGAAGACGACAACATCATACCATTAAACGATCCCAAAATTTTTTTTGCGGTCGTATAATAAGCATTGCCAAGTATTCAAACTCAACACAATTATCATAATTGAATTGTAAAAGCTGGAATTTTGGCAGTAGAAATAATTCTGAAATGAATAGGGAGTTTTATTCAAAATATACCTTGTGGTACCAAACATACCTGCCAACTTTTTAAAATCACCATAGGGGTTTTCAGTGTGGGAATTTTTTAAGATTAAAATTTTTTGCTGTGTTTTTGTACCCTACAAATAGTGTCATATCTTTTTTTCTTTTCTTTGATAATTTATACTGATGATGAGCTTATAAGACCTTTTTTACTTTTATTTAGATCTGTTACAAAGTGTTATGTCCATACCCTGTTTGATACATTCGTGGTAGCACTGTTACTCATATCGAACCAATGCACACTTAATCAACTTGTTTTAAACTTGATTCATATCTTAATAATCTAATTCAACTCAATATGCTCACATAAAAGAAAAAGCCTTGTGAACAGTTCGTTTGTATTAATTGTTTATGCTTGCTTGACCATCTGGAGTTGCTCAGTTTATTGCAGACTTTGGGTATGGGTTTTGCTCATTGTTGAAGGCTGTACAGTGACCTATAGTTATTAACTTCTATGTCATTTGGTCTCTGGTGGAGAGTTGTGTCATTGGCAATCATACCATATCTTATTTTTAGTTTTACAAAAGGCATGCAATATGATGATCATGTGAGGGCTATTCCATTAAAATGTATGTGGGAGGGTAGGAAGGGACTTTCAAAATATCCCTACAACCAAGAACCATTTTTTAGGTAATTTTGCATAATATTATTAGATGCATACTGAAAAAAGACCCATGACCCACATTCAATAATTAAACTTCCCTTCCTACACTCCCACACACATTTTAATGGAATAGCCCTGAGATGCCTATCGTTGAATTTGTCAATCAACCACTCTTTTCTAGAACCTTTTTGCAGATTAAAATTCAGCCACACTGATTACGTTTTTTTTACAACTTTGTAATATAGACCAAGAAATATGACTCAAAAGTTTAAATTTTAGCATGTTTGTAATACCCCATAATAACGAGAAAGACTCATTTTGATTGGCTTATTAACATAATCACAAGAAACACCAATTTTGTTTGGCTGATCCCGTTTGTCTTCCTTGAGAAAAGTTTAAAATCAGAAACCAAATTTCTTTCGTATAGATTTCCCCAAAATCTAGTTTTAAAGCTTTATTAACAATCTGGCAATTTGGACAAGTCAAAATCGTGTAGTGCACACCTTAATTGTAAAAGTTGGCAGTTATGTATAAAAGCATGATAAAAAAGCCCAATAAATATGTTTACATCTCTATGATTGAAAGATGATCCATGTTTATTAATTAGCTATAAATCTACACAGCAAAACAAGTGACACTCAAAACTCACCCATTTCTCAAGTCTTGCTATAAAGTCAAATGAAATATAAACATGATAAATAAGAAAACAAATTCTATCACTCTACAGCTGTGAGAATATCACAGCACCTGCACCTGAGTGTGTAACAACAAAGAAATTGAATATTCTGGTTTTCTAGGTGAACCATGAAATCACGATTACCTTGATTTATTAAATATTGAAAAAGTAACAATATTCCTAACCAATCAAATCATGGGACAGCTGGTAACCTAAATAAATAGTTTTGCAATCCATTCTTCCAATTGATTTCATGTAATATGAAAATATAAAGTCTGCTAGAACAGATGACACCTATTTCAGTTGAATTATGACCCACGTTTAGAAAGTGTTCTTTAAGGTGTGTGTAGCTGTAGCTGTTCTGTCACAACCCAAAATATACCTTTTCTAGTTACAATCCTAATATCCCAGTTATTTTTAAAGGAGTATGTAGGACCTACCTAATTGATTTATTGATTAATTTATTCATGTCCTGAACATTTACGAAATATTTGCCTCTGGACATTAACAAACATTGAAACACAAAAATTAATAAATAACTGTTACGTTTAAACAGGGAAGCAGTTCTCACCTGACACCAGTCTTCTTCCTCTTCCTGTTTGCCTTTCTCTCCGTCTACTTTCACATCTTCTGTTTTTCTTTTCTCTGGTAATGTAATTTCTTCTAAAGTGTCAACAGCTATTGAGAAAAAACAAAGATATTCCCATATGACAGTTAATTATATATAAATCATTAGAGCATCAAACTAAGATAAGACTATGGTTTATTCAGCATGCTCAGTTTTTGTGAATTCCCACCTTCCACTTTTCCAAACTCAAATTAAGCCATATATATATCAATGTATATTATTTTTTTTTTTATTATAATCAAGTGCTTAATATTTTTTTTTTGTATAATAAAAAGACAAAATCTACACATCTGACTATGTGGTATGGGCTTTGCTCATTGTTGAAAGCCGTAGTGACCTATAGTTATTTTTTTGGCACTGGCTACGGTTACATGGAAATGTAACAATAATATAAAAATTATTGTTACATTGAAGACTAATTGCCGGAATGCAGGGTTTGGTAAGGAATCGTTAATTACGAATGTAACAATAATATTTGGGTCTACGGTTACATTGCGTTATTGTTACATTAAAGACTGCAATGTATGATAGATTTATTAAACTTAAACCTTTTATAGTTATGTTGCTTAATTCTTCGATATGTAATAGATAATATTCAGAGCTCCAGATAAGAATTCACAAATTGGGGTTTTTACCCACCATTTTTTTATGTAATTGGGTGATAAAGTTTTTTAATTGCATTATCAATTCCAATTCACCCCTCAAGCAAATATCAAATTGGGTTTTTCACCATCAAGCTCCTTAATGTATTGGGTTTTTTCATCAACACAATATTGAAAATTTAGGCATGTTATCATCACATTATATCAACCCCAGATGTGTTTCCATCTTAAATGTGTTTCTTTCTTTGTATATGTGCTTAGCTGTTTTATTTGGTTTATTCACTGACGAGCAATTGTACGTTTAATTTGTGTCCCGTTTTAAACGTTCTGTCAGTTTTGTATTTTCTCAAAACTTATGTAAACTGCAGCTGGTGTCACTAGTTGGACAGTAACTAATTGCCTTTCTAGATCCCATATGATCACCCTACAGTTTATAGTTGGGGTAGGTGTGGCTAAGTGTTTAGATTTTTATGTAATATATGTGAAATTTAGGTGCTGTAAGAAAGTTTTGCCAGTCCTTTCACCTATTTGCCAGATCTACTTTTTAATAAAAATAAAAAGTTGTTCCCAGATTTAAGATATACCCCAAAACCTTGAGATTTATAGGGTGGTTTAATGATGGAGACCACATTCAACTTAAATTTACAAATAATTCTGCAACATCAAGTAAATAAATGACAATGTTATACTGCACTTGCCAATAAGACAACTATCTTAAGCATCCAGAACAATTAGATCAAAACAAAGAAAGTGTCAAGCTGCATAATTTGACGTAAAAAACGGATATGTGTATTCATTCATAAACTAAAATGAAAAAAAATAATATATAAACTGTTTTTGTTTAATTCAATTTACATAAATCTGGGTTAAGTTGTCCCTTATCAGAACTTTTGGTTTCCGATGCTTTCCAACTACATATCATGTCATAATTGATTTAGCCTTTCAATTTTTCCAACTGATTTCGTTTTTGACAAAACCCCGTGTTTATCGTTCTATAGCAATGTTCTCGTTAAGGTACGCAAACACGCCCGTGCGTTCAATGGACGCTTCCTAAAGTCACTAGCTGAGTCTTGTTATCATCATAACTTTCCCTCAGCTATCAAAAAGAAGCCGAAAACATGCTTCTATTCAATATTTTTATCGGACATTTACTTTCGTTTTAATTCATGTAAGTTATTACAAATCCCGAGCAATTCGAAAAAATATGACAGCATGTCACACGCTAATTGGATAAACTTCGAGAAGATCGAAATGTTTTCATAAACACGTGTACCTTTTGAGCAACGGAAAATTCCAACAGGGACCCATTACAGCTACTTGATGCAGGGCTCTATTTTAAGAACGAAAGGACATTTCCAATTATAAATATTATAAAAATAGATTTACGCGACGACTGTAATCAGATAAGGGTAAAAAACGCAAACGATAGCGAATAAAAGCGTTAAGAACTCATGGTTTTGGCATATAATTGGGTTTTCCTTTGAATTAATTGGGTTATTGAACCCTGCAATGGGCAATTGCATTGGGTTTTTAATTATTTGTATTGCGTGATCACGCAAATACGCAGCTTATCTGGAGCTCTGTAATATTAATAAAAAAATATTATTCAGCGAATAAGTATTGATTGTTTTGGTGTTGTTAAAAATCATGACTACTACAGTTTAGTTTAATATCACTATTGATGAATACTTAATGAACTGTTCAATAGAGCATGTACTGTCACGATTGATAAGATCACAAAATATCTGGACTCTGAAAATGAAAACACTGTTTCCACCAATTTCAATCTGTCGGCAAATGTCAACATTAATTGCTTTCACAATTGACTTGTATTTAAACAACCTAACATGCTTCCCAAAAAATATTGGACGAAAATGTAAACATCGCAAGAGTAACAAAATATTTTACACCTGAAGCATGGCATTCAGACATTGAAAGTTTCTTAAACTTCATAAAGGGAAAATGCAGAATGAAATTGTATGGTATGCAATATAGAGCGTGCACATTGCCGTATCACTGGTTTGTGATGGCTGCTTAGAGTGGTTTCACCGAAAATGCGTCGGACTAAAACATGCTCCAAACACAACATACTGGATTTGTAGAAACTGTCATTGTAAATAACAAGAGTGCACACACTGAAATGTCTCGCCTTCTTTACTAATCATTGATATTATGTTGATAGTCCTAAATATAAAGCTTTATTACAACTGTCACATAAACTTAACATTAACCAAGTAAACTAAATATTGACCAATGAACCATGAAAATGAGGTCAAGGTCAGATGAACCATGCTAGGCAGGCATGTACAGCTCACAATTCTTCCATACAACAAATATAGTTGACCTATTGCTTATAGTTTAAGAAAAACAGACCAAAACACAAAAACTTAACACTGAGCAATGAACCTTGAAAATGAGGTCAAGGTCAAATAAAACCTGTGTGACTGACATATAGATCATAAAATATTTCCATACACCAAATATAGTTGAACTATTGCATATAGTATTAGAAAAAAAGACCAAAACTCAAAAACTTAACTTTGACCACTGAACCATGAAAATGAGGTCAAGGTCAGATGACACCTGCCAGCTAGACATGTACACCTTACAATCATTCCATACACCAAATATAGTAGACCTATTGCATACAGTATAAGAAAAACAGACCAAAACACAAAAACTTAACTATAACCACTGAACCATGAAAATGAGGTCAAGGTCAGATGACACCTGCCAGCTAGACATGTACACCTTACAATCATTCCATACACCAAATATAGTAGACCTATTGCATACAGTATTAGAAAAAAAGACCAAAACTCAAAAACTTAACTTTGACCACTGAACCATGAAAATGAGGTCAAGGTCAGATGACACCTGCCAGCTAGACATGTACACCTTACAATCATTCCATACACCAAATATAGTAGACCTATTGCATACAGTATTAGAAAAAAAGACCAAAACTCAAAAACTTAACTTTGACCACTGAACCATGAAAATGAGGTCAAGGTCAGATGACACCTGCCAGCTAGACATGTACACCTTACAATCATTCCATACACCAAATATAGTAGACCTATTGCATACAGTATAAGAAAAACAGACCAAAACACAAAAACTTAACTATAACCACTGAACCATGAAAATGAGGTCAAGGTCAGATGACACCTGCCAGCTAGACATGTACACCTTACAATCATTCCATACACCAAATATAGTAGACCTATTGCATACATTATTAGAAAAAAAGACCAAAACTCAAAAACTTAACTTTGACCACTGAACCATGAAAATGAGGTCAAGGTCAGATGACACCTGCCAGCTAGACATGTACACCTTACAATCATTCCATACACCAAATATAGTAGACCTATTGCATACAGTATTAGAAAAAAAGACCAAAACTCAAAAACTTAACTTTGACCACTGAACCATGAAAATGAGGTCAAGGTCAGATGACACCTGCCAGCTAGACATGTACACCTTACAATCATTCCATACACCAAATATAGTAGACCTATTGCATACAGTATAAGAAAAACAGACCAAAACACAAAAACTTAACTATGACCACTGAACCATGAAAATGAGGTCAAGGTCAGATGACACCTGCCAGCTAGACATGTACACCTTACAATCATTCCATACACCAAATATAGTAGACCTATTGCATACAGTATAAGAAAAACAGACCAAAACACAAAAACTTAACTATGACCACTGAACCATGAAAATGAGGTCAAGGTCAGATGACACCTGCCAGCTAGACATGTACACCTTACAATCATTCCATACACCAAATATAGTAGACCTATTGCATACAGTATAAGAAAAACAGACCAAAACACAAAAACTTAACTATGACCACTGAACCATGAAAATGAGGTCAAGGTCAGATGACACCTGCCAGCTAGACATGTACACCTTACAATCATTCCATACACCAAATATAGTAGACCTATTGCATACAGTATAAGAAAAACAGACCAAAACACAAAAACTTAACTATAACCACTGAACCATGAAAATGAGGTCAAGGTCAGATGACACCTGCCAGCTAGACATGTACACCTTACAATCATTCCATACACCAAATATAGTAGACCTATTGCATACAGTATAAGAAAAACAGACCAAAACACAAAAACTTAACTATAACCACTGAACCATGAAAATGAGGTCAAGGTCAGATGACACCTGCCAGTTGGACATGTACACCTTACAGTCCTTCCATACACCGAATATACTAGACCTATTGCTTATAGTATCTGAGATATGGACTTGACCACGAAAACTTAACCTTGTTCACTGATCCATGAAATGAGGTCGAGGTCAAGTGAAAACTGTCTGACGGGCATGAGGATCTTGCAAGGTACGCACATACCAAATATAGTTATCCTATTACTTATAATAAGAGAGAATTTAACATTACAAAAAATCTGAACTTTTTTTTCAAGTAGTCACTGAACCATGAAGATGAGGTCAAGGACATTGGACATGTGACTGACGGAAACTTCGTAACATGAGACATCCATATACAAAGTATGAAGCATCCAGATCTTCCACCCTCTAAAATATAAAGCTTTTAAGAAGTTAGCTAACGCCGCCGCCGCCGCCGGATCACTATCCCTATGTCGAGCTTTCTGCGACAAAAGTCGCAGGCTCGACAAAAAATCAAAATATTGTATGCAATATTGTAAATATCAAATAAAAGTTTTCAAGTCTTATTTTAATACATATTCATTACTATTCCCATCGTACATTGCAGTGCGTTAATGTAACAATAACGCAATGTAACCGTAGACCCAAATATTATTGTTACATTCGTAATTAATCGGTTCCTTACCCAACCCTGCATTCCGGCAATTAGTCTCCAATGTAACAATAATTTTTATATTATTGTTACATTTCCATGTAACCGTAGCCAGTGCCTATTTTTTTTGTGTCATTTGGTCTCTTGTCGAGAGTTGTCTCATTGGTAATCATACCACATCTTCATTTTTGTCGAGCCTGCGACTTTTGTTGCAGAAAGCTCGACATAGGGATAGCGATCCGGCGGCGGCGGCGGCGTTAGCTAACTTCTTAAAAGCTTTATATTTTAGAAGATGGAAGACCTGGATGCTTCATACTTTGTATATGGATGCCTCATGTTACGAAGTTTCCGTCAGTCACATGTCCAATGTCCTTGACCTCATTTTCATGGTTCAGTGACTACTTGAAAAAAAAGTTCAGATTTTTTGTAATGTTAAATTCTCTCTTATTATAAGTAATAGGATAACTATATTTGGTATGTGCGTACCTTGCAAGGTCCTCATGCCCGTCAGACAGTTTTCACTTGACCTCGACCTCATTTCATGGATCAGTGAACAAGGTTAAGTTTTCGTGGTCAAGTCCATATCTCAGATACTATAAGCAATAGGTCTAGTATATTCGGTGTATGGAAGGACTGTAAGGTGTACATGTCCAACTGGCAGGTGTCATCTGACCTTGACCTCATTTTCATGGTTCAGTGGTTATAGTTAAGTTTTTGTGTTTTGGTCTGTTTTTCTTATACTGTATGCAATAGGTCTACTATATTTGGTGTATGGAATGATTGTAAGGTGTACATGTCTAGCTGGCAGGTGTCATCTGACCTTGACCTCATTTTCATGGTTCAGTGGTCAAAGTTAAGTTTTTGAGTTTTGGTCTTTTTTTCTAATACTGCATGCAATAGGTCAGCTATATTTGGTGTATGGAATGATTGTAAGGTGTACATGTCTAGCTGGCAGGTGTCATCTTACCTTGACCTCATTTTCATGGTTCAGTGGTCAAAGTTAAGTTTTTGAGTTTTGGTCTTTTTTTCTAATACTATATGCAATAGTTCAACTATATTTGGTGTATGGAAATATTTTATGATCTATATGTCAGTCACGCAGGTTTTATTTGACCTTGACCTCATTTTCAAGGTTCATTGCTCAGTCTTAAGTTTTTGTGTTTTGGTCTGTTTTTCTTAAACTATAAGCAATAGGTCAACTATATTTGTTGTATGGAAGAATTGTTAGCTGTACATGCCTGCCTAGCATGGTTCATCTGACCTTGACCTCATTTTCATGGTTCATTGGTCAATGTTTAGTTTACTTGGTTAATGTTAAGTTTATGTGACAGTTGTAATAAAGCTTTATATTTAGGACTATCAACATAATATCAATGATTAGTAAAGAAGGCGAGACATTTCAGCGTGTGCACTCTTGTTTATATTTACAAGCTGTAGTGTTTCTTTGTTTTACAGCTTTTCTATAAAAGCATGCAAAGCAAACCTTTGATCAACTTGCTTGCTATGTTTGTTTGGATGTTTGTAAACAACAGGTAGGTAGTCTATTTCAGTCTGTTTACTATATACTGGAATTTGATTGGAAAATAAACATTAATTTTGAAATTTTATAGTGTGTCTTTCTATGTTGTGATGTTACACTATTGTTTCAGGAAAAAGGGTGAAGGTTTGGTACCATTAAAACGTTTAAACCCGCTGCATTTGTTTGCACCTGTCCTAAGTCAGGAATCTGATGTTCAGTAGTTGTCGTTTGTTGATGTGGTTCATAAGTGTTTCTCGTTTCTCGTTTTTTAAAAAGATTAGACCATTGAATTTCCCGTTTGAATGGTTTTACACTAGTAATTTTTTGGGCCCTTTATAGCTTGCTGTTCGGTGTGAGCCAAGGCTCTGTGTTGAAGACCGTACTTTGACCTATAATGGTTTACTTTTATAAATTTTGACTTGGATGGAGAGTTGTCTCATTGGCACTCATACCACATCTTCTTATATCTATTAACTTCATTTAAATGTTAAGTTTCACATTGTATGTCAATTTTTATTGTCCAATCAAATACCAGTATATATTAAACAGACTGAAACTCCGTGTACCCTTTTGTTTACAAACATCCAAGCAAACATAGCAAGCAAGTCTATCAAAGGTTTGCTTTGCATGCTTTTATAGAAAAGCTGTAAGTCAAACAGGATTTAGTGTTCTCAGATAAAACATGCTTAGGGCTGTTCCAGAAATAAATGTTGATATATGAAGGTGCATTTAATTTATCCCACTAGGCATTAATGGCCTTGGGCTGTTTTTCTACTCTTTGGACGGGTTGTCGTCTCTGACACATTCCCCATTTCCATTCTCAATTTTATTAGTGCCTTCCAACCTCCATACAATTTATTCTAACACAGCCTTTAGGTCTTAAGTGTCTTTCTGAACTTGTGTGTAATACTTACATTGTTTACGAATGTGAAATTCTATAGGCCTCCTGGGGTCGTAATTTGGAACAAATGGTTCAGCATAATCATCAACTTCATCATCCCAGCTTGGTTCAGATAAAAATGATTGATGATTCACTTTGGTATTCTCAAAACTTCGTCTTTTCTTCTGTAGTCTTGGTGGTAAATTTGGTCGACCAGCAGATGAGAACTGCCATTTCTTCTCTGCCTCTGTCGGACTAGGTGAATTGCTATCAAATCCTGATAATTTTCCATGAAATGTTTCTTTCCCTCCTGTGTTTGTCTGAGAAAGTTGTTTAGTCTTCTCCAGGATGGGCAATGCCAAAAGTAGTGGCTTTTTTTCTGGTGCAGGCAGAAGTGGCACTTTCTTACCCTGCTCCACAGCAACATTTGAAGTTGCCGAATCAGCAGTTTTCGATTGAGGTAGATTGTAGGATAAAGTTTTACTGAATGTGAAACCTGAGCCAGTTACTTCCAGGGGTTTTTGGATAGTTGATTCTTTATTGAAACCGCTTAAAATATTAGAGCTCATTTCTGTTTTCCCAAAGTCTCTAATACATTGTGGACTTTGCCTTCTTTCTGTACATTCATTGAAGCTAGAGCTATCAGGTGGTATTAACGTTGGAGACCCACTTGCAGGAATAGTGTCTGAAGAAGTTTCGACAGAAAAATCATTCTTGCCACCAAAACCAGGTGGTCTGACAGATGACGATTTTGGTGAAATAGTAGCATCATCAATTATCGAGGAACTCAACGATTTACTAATACTGGATTTGGTAACCATGGTTTCTGCCTCTGGTGAACACAAGTATTTTTCCATCCTCAATTCCAATGAATTAGAGTTGTTAATATTGGATGCTGATTTGTCGCTAGGCTTTTTCAAAATTTCAAAGCCATCCCCTTGTAACACGGTTTTCATTTTATTTTCAGAGGGTGTTAATGGTTTCATTGGCAGAGATTGGTCACCTGAACTGTTAACAAATGATTTCATTGATAGATTATTATTAGAACTTGCTACAGATGTTTTGCTAGGCAGATTATGATCAGAACTTGTAATAGAGGATTTCATTGGTTTGTTCTGATTGCCAAGAGCAGCATCACTTTTGCTGTGTTCAGCTTGACTAGAAAAATTCAGATTTTTTGGCTGAATATTTAAATTTGACTGATTTGTCATAATATTAGGCATGTCTGGTCCTTGAATCTGACTGGGCATGGCATCACCCGTCATTTCCAAAGCACTTGTTGCATTGGCTGATCCAGCAGTTTCCATTCCAAAAGCCTGCATTTGATTGGCCAATCCATCCCCATCTGACTTTCCAAGATACATTTGTAAAACTGACGTCTGCTGAACAGCTATCATATTCAGCATGACTGGGTTACTGGCTAAATGTGGATACACTTGCTTTAATTGCTGAACAACAGCCTCATACAATGAGTTACTAGTCACCTGAGACAAAAGTCCACTTTGATTTTGACAAGAAAGATCAGGCTGACCTTTAGACTCCAGATGACCTTGACACTGAGATGCTATTGCACTTTCTTCCTGAGGTACAGTACCATTAGCACTAGTTGACACTCCAATTGCATTAGTGTTCAAATAAGGCACTTCACTTTTCTCTTCTGTAAACTGTTCATTGTTTTTATGACTAGAATCAATAATTGCACTGGTTTGCTGCTGAGCACTGCTAGAATTCATTGTGGATGCAGAATCATTACAAGTTAATTTTTCAGCTTGTTTCTCCACAGATTCCTGACTAGAACTTTTGTTTGCGATGAAGAACTGATTTTCCTCGGAAGCTGACAGTAAAACGGGAGTATGACACTGTGACGTCTGCTGTGAGGTTGCAGAAACATACTCACTACTGGCAGAATGATAGGACTTGCTCATCTCAACATCAAAATCTATTTCATCATCGTCAATTTCTTCTAAAGAATTCTTAATTTCAGTTATCTGTGCACTACCAATGTCTGGATTTTCATTTTTTAATGTAGATGCATTGTCATTGTTTTTTACTGTAGAAATATTGCTATCCTTTTTTAATGTAGACAACTTGCTTTCCTTTTTCACTGTATATTCTTCACCTGCATTTCGTATTGCAGACATTTCACTTTCATTCTGTTCTGTCAACAAGTTATTTTCTTTGTCAAATTCCACATTTTTATCAAGTTTCACCTCAAGCTTCTCTCGGGAAGCTGACGTTTTTACTAACATCCCTGACAATTTTACCGATTTTGGTGTTCTCTCAGAATTTATTTCTCCATTGTTAAATTCCTCATTCTCCTGTGCAATACTTTCTTCTGTCTTTACTTCCATAACATGATTGGATTCTGTACTTTCTTTTTCCGACTTCTTTTTCTTACTTTTCTTTCCTTTCTTACCCTTTGTTTTGTCCTTGACATCGATATTTTCTTTTCTTTCTTCTGAATTATCTCTAGAAATACCTTTATCATCTAATTTCTCAACGGAAACAGAATTTTCAGGTAACCTGTTGATTACACTGCTATCTTTCAAAGCCTCTTTTGCCAAGGAGGTCTGACTAGAACTATTCAAATTTATAATTTCAGATTCTGCTTTTCTAGCAGTAGATGAAACTTCTCTCACAATTTTCTTCATGGTACTCAAAGTCTCTACCATATTTTCTTTACCAATAACAGTATGTTCTTGTACACAGTCAGCCAATCGGCCGATGGTGCTGACCATTTCCTTAATCACAGTGACCAAATCTTTAGACACATCAAAATTACCATCTACTTTGAGCAGAACCTTTCTCATTGCCTCAGAGAGAAATCTTGATTGATGTTCATTGTTTGACGTACTCTCTTTTGACAGCATCTTTTCAGTCTGCACTTCTTTAGAGTCTGTTTTGACCTGCAAAACATGATAGACATTTAAAACAAGAGTGCACAAGCTGAAATGTCTCGCCTGTTTTACTATGTTTGAATTCATGTTAAAAGTCTGTAACATGAAGGTTTTACTACAAATATCACATAAGCTTAACATTATCAATGATCTATTAAAATAAAGTTATGGTCAGATTAACTATGCCAGACAGACATGTACATCTAACAATCATTCCATACACCAAATATAGTGGTCCTATCCCTTATATTACCTAAATGGTAATAAGCATTGTGTACAAGTTTCATAACATTTGGTTAGATGCAAACTATCGTTAGAGAACAGAAACGAAAATTTCAGCAATTTTTCCATAAATTTTGTAAAGGGCATAACTCTAGAACAGTATAAGTGACACAACAAAAGTTCAAACTTGATCTGTATTTTGTGGTAATAAACATTGTGTATAAGTTTCATAACATTTGGTTGAGGCTAACTTAAGTTAGAGAACAGAAACAAAAAATTCATCAATTTTTTCATTTGTAAAGGGGCATAACTCTAGAACGGTTAAAGTGACACCACCAAAATTCGAACTTGATCTGTGTTTTGTGGTAATAAGCATTGTGTATAAGTTTTATAACATTTCGTTGAGGTAAACTTAAGTTAGAGAATCTAATATTTTTCCTAAGTAAACCAAAAATCTCTCTTCTCTCCCTTTGATCATAATTCCTTTTAAATTTAGTATTATTTCTTTTTTAAATGATAAATTATTGTCTTAACCTTACTTGTTTCAACAATTTATAGTATCCAACCCATCTCAATCTTGAATGATCGGATTCATTAGAAAATTGTTGGTATTTTTTCAAAATCAAATAATTAACTTCAAAAGGTCCCAAGTTAAGTTTCGTAATCAATTGGGGGGAAAATAAAGACATTCAGGTATAATGTGTCTTTCTGAACTCACTAGCAATAAGTTTTTGATGTCTTAATTCTTTAGATAGCAGTAAATTTGTCCCATTGTAAAGGAGTAAGTTTGGTAAGGGTCATATTTAGCCCCAAATATTAAGAACTTTGTTTAAGGATAAAAAATGTGTCAAGTGGATAAAAAGACATGTAAGAAAGTGAAACAGAACTTTTTGTGTAGCTTTTCTTAATAAAAAGCCTTAATATTTACAACCCAATTAGACCAAAAAGTAAACATTTTGATGAAAATTGACATAATCGTCTGGAATTGTACAAGATATCGGCCTAGGAAACATAGAGAGCAGGCTTCGACAAACTAAATATTCAAATCAGATATGTAAAATGTTACAACAAACTATTTGGTGAAAGATCTTTCTTGTCGACACATGTGCTCTTATGTTCCAGGCCAAAAAACCAATGGAAATTTACATGTTTTCTTTAATTTTCGTAGTTAATAAATATGTGTGCTAATCCTAATAGAAATATGGGCCATTATAGGGCCTTATCTAACTTACTCCTTTATTAATTGTGTGTCCTATTCCTGAGTGTGGCGGTTGAGACATAGCAGAAGATGCTGACCCTGTCGACACAACGGGCACTCGGTTATAAAACTTTACTCAGTACTTGGGAGTACAAAATTTGTGCTCGAAACACCAAATCCAATAATTTGATCGGTTGATTTCTAAGTCTGAGTGTGATAATCATGCTCGAAAATTTTCTGACTGCAAAGCCAGATATTACTCCTTTTGGAGTTCATGCCATTCCATCAGTTTTTGTTTTTACCTTGATTTGTATTTTCTTTATAGATTTATAAGATATGCACATCGGTAAACAACTGTCACATATAATTTGGCACAACAATTTTGCACATAATGTAGGGAGATGTATAAAATCAAGTCATTATATGTGCTGATTTACTGAAAATTAATAAATACAGTACAATACAAATATTTTACTTCATTCCCAAATACCTACATGTACAAGAGGACAAACATGTTGTGATGTTACACTACTGTTTCAGATAAGGGTGAAGGTTTGGTACCATTAAAACTTTTAAACCCGCTGCTGTTGTTTGCACCTGTCCTAAGTCAGGAATCTGATGTTCAGTAGTTGTCGTTTGTTGATGTGGTTCATAAGTGTTTCTCGTTTCTCGTTTTTTATAAATCAGAAATAACCAACTTAAATGGAAAATTTTAAAGAAAAAAAAAAGGAAAAAAAAACGGAAAAAAAAATCCCTCCCCCAAATTTTTGAACCCCCTTATGATTCATCACAGCCTTCCCTTTGTGGTATGGTACCTTGCAGTACAATTTCAGAGAGATCCATACACTTGAACACAAGTTATCATCTGGAAACTAGAAAAATGCTTATTTTGGCCCCTTATTCCTAAACGTTTTGGGCAATTACCCCCAAACTCAATTCAAGCTTTCCCTTTGTGATATGGAACCTTGTAGTACAATTTGAGAAAGGTCCATACACTTACACACAAGTTATTGTCATGGAACTAGAAAAATGTTTGTTTTTCTTCCCTTTTTGGCCCCTAATTCCTAAAATTTTAAGGCAATTACCACCAAAATCAATCCCAGCATTCCCTTTTTGATATGGTACCTTGCAGTACAATTTCAGAGAGATCCATACACTTTAACACAAGTTATTATCTGGAAACTAGAAAAATGCTTATTTTGGCCCTATTTTGGCCCTTATCCCTAAACGTTTTGGGCAATTACCCCCAAACTCAAACCCAGCTTTCCCTTTGTGATATGGAACCTTGCAGTACAATTTGAGAAAGATCCATACACTTACACACAAGTTATTGTCATGAAACTAGAAAAACGCTTGTTTTTTTCCCCTTTTTTGGCCCCTAATTCCTAAAATTTTGAGGCAATTACCCCCAAAATCAATTCCAGCCTTCCCTTTGTGATATAGAACCTTGTGGTACAATGTCAGAGAGATCCATACACTTACACACAAGTTATTGTCTGGAAGTTACAAAAATGCTTATTTTTTGCCCCTTTTTGGCCCCCAATTCCTTAACTGTTGGTACCATAACCCCCAAAATCAATCCCAACCTTCCTTTTGTGGTATTGAACCTTATGGTAAAATTTCATAGAGATTTATTCACTTAAACTAAAGTTATTGTGCGAAAACCAATGTGTCTTCTGACGATGACGACGACGCCAACGTCATAACAATATACGACCGCGGTCGTATAAAAATCAGATGAAATAAAGACAACAAAATGTACTGTTAGGTACTGTTCACTAATTATACCACAGCTCAATGTTTTAAACTAAATGTGACAATACTTTTATAAATTGTATGACATTTCTAAGATTCACGTTTTCAGCAAACATACAATTAAATGTTAAAGGAACTGAAATGTGTCACATGGTTTGGCATTAGAACTATTCCATTAAAATGAATTTTGGAGGGTAAAAGGATCGTTTTATTTTTGGAAATTACTATATAGACAGCTGTCTATTGTTGAAGAATGTATAATACCCTTTAGATGTCGTTCTGTTTCTGTTTTTGTTGTGTTAGTGGGTTACTGTCTCATTGACCTATACCAAACATCAGAATTACATCACCTTTCATTCTTTAAACAATATTACTATTTTTGTTATAAATATATATTTAATATATACCAGAGATGTTATCATAGAGTCCATATCCAACGATATTCCAAAGTCTGGTACTGGTTCAAACAGGATTTTCTCATCTAATACCTTCTCATACTGAGCAAGTTTGTTCTACAATACAATGCCAATAATTATAGTGTGTTCTGAGATGTCTGAAGTTGTTTTTCATAAAAATTTTCTATATTCATGTACATAAAAATATGGTGTACGATTTGAAAGGCCGTCATAAATATTTATCTACTTTAAAAGTATAAATATAAAGAACAAGAGTTCCAATGTCCCCTGTGTTGCACATATTTTATCTATCCAAGGGCAATAACTAAAAATAACTTCTGTTTTGTTGTACTTTAAAACTGTTTACAAATATCTAAGAGAAATAAAGGCTTGAGAGCAATAACAATGCAATTTTTCATATAAAAAATATTTAGAAGGGGGCATTATTCTGTTAAAAATATTTGATCAGCACTGATTTTCGAACTTGTCTAAGACATTGCTGATATAAACGATATAAGTTTCACAAAAATCTGGAAAGAATTGTACACATGAGTGCACTAACAATGAATTTTCCATATATTTAATATGTCCAAGGGGCATAACTGCATTACTCTTTTAAAAATAATTGATTGGCACTGATTTTTCTAACTTGTCCAAGATTGACTGATTGGTTGTTGGTGTTTTAACGTCTCTTTTAAGCGCCACTTTTGGGCTTTTTCGCAGCGGCCAGTTTTTATTGGTGGAGGAAGCTGGAGTGCCTGAAGAAAACCACTGACCTTCGATAGGAAAACTGACAATCCTAGTCAATTAAGATTGGAGTCGAGTGCACCCGCACAGGCGGGGTTCGAACTCACAACCTCAGTGTTGACTGGCTAGTGATTACAGTAGTAGAACTACTTAGACCACTTGGCCACCGAGGCCCCAACTTGTCCAAGACATTGCTGATTTAAACCAATGATGTAAGTTTCATAAAAATCTGGCAAGAATTGTGCACATGAGAGCGCTAACAATGTAATTTTTCATATAATTTATATTTCCAAGGGGCATAACTCTTAAAATAAATTGATCTGCACTGATTTTTGAACTTGTCTGAGGCATTGCCAATATAAACCTATGATATAAGTTTTATAAAAATCTGGCAAATATTTTGCACATAAGAGCGCTAACAAGACCGTTCAACTGCAGACACCATTCATGTGCAAGCAGTTCCTTTATAAAGGTTTAGGCATCTTTCAATTCCCATTCCAAGTACAGTAACTAATTACGCCATCAAATGTGGGTCTTCTAGAATAATTGATTGTTTGATTTAAATGTGAACTCCTGGCATCCAGTTTTTATTAGTGAAGGAAGCTGTAATACCCAGAGATACCCATGGACTTTTTGGCAGGAATAGGCAATCCTTGTCCAAGATCCTACACTATACCCACCATACCATAATTGGGGTTTGAACTCACAACCTCAATGTTGACAGGCTAGTGATCAATATAAATTAACTTTTATACATGTAGCTTACTGTAATTTACAATCTTGGTTTTGCTCATTATTAATGGCCATAATGTGACGTGCAGCTATTTACATCTTAAGTAAAGATATACCATTAACATAATTTAACAATGGCAATCATACTGCAACTCCTTATGTTCATATCCTAAAGGTATTTTCAAATACACCTTCCACTAAGCCTAATATGGATTTTTTTACTTCAATTCATCCACGGGAAGAGTCAGCACAGAGCGTGCAAAACTTCTTGAAAGTCTACTGTGAACAAGCTTTAAGATAGGCATGCCATTTCTTTTCATGCATCTTAAGAAAAAAAAAAAAAAAAAAAAAGAATTTAACCTTCTTTACATAGGAAACACTATTAAGCTTTTGTAATTAAATACTTTTTCAAAATCTGAGATTAAATTTGAGTTGGCAGAAGATTGCTGTCCACAATAGACAGGTAAAAATGACAAAATCCACAAAGAGCTGTAGCAGTGTTTTACCTGTAACCTGTGTATCTCCGCCTTTATGTACAATATTCTAGTCTCCACGACATCAGCTACTTTGGTCCGGTCCTCCCTACAATTAAAAAGACTTGATTGACTGATGGCTGTTTAACATCAAGTGTCAAATACATGTATACTGCAAAGGCAGAAATTTTTGTTCGGATTTTTAATTTCGTTTATTTTGTCTAAAGACATTATCCACGAAATTAAAAGCCAAACCAAATTAACCTACAAGGAATGTTACTTTTACATAATAGAAACCACGAAAATTAAATCCCATGAAATCAAAATTAAAGACAAAACCATGAAACTTTAACCCTATGAAAAATAATGTTTCTGCAGTAACTTGTTATTGTGACATGAACACTTATCACCTGAGCTATCAATTCTGTATTACAAAAGACTCAAAAGACCTGGTTGCTCTCAATGTTTCTCAAACAATGAAGAATGGTATGAACTTGATATACTGAACATTTGAATATATGAAAATATAAAATGTAGAATTTGAAAAAAATCTTTTAGGTTTGCAAATTTTCTGTGATGTTCCAAAGATCTTGGTTAAAAACAAAAATTGTTACAATCTTTTGAAAAAATTGCTTTAGAAATGATTATTGTCCAAATTCTGGAAAAATGGATACAAATTCCTCAAACAAGTGTCCATTGATCTTTACAAGTGATTTTTACCGAACCATATCATGAAAAAGATGAAAACCATCACATATTGTATTGAAACTCCTGCTTTTCTTGTGACTCATGCAATAATTCTGATCTTACTAGTGACCGATACCAGTGATCTTGACCTAAATGGTTACAATTTGAAATGATATTGACCCTGTAGCCTTTACATGCAGAGATCTTGACCTTAATGGTATAAACTTGAAATGATATTGACCCACATGGTTACAACTTCAAATGAAATTGACCCTTTGTCCTATACACATGATTTTGATCGTACTTACAAATGTGAGAAAACAGAGTACATCTGGTACTTTGAACTCCTGATATGCTGTATCTCTTGTTCAAGCTGTTGATTACAGACGTAATACCTTGTCCTCAATAACTGCCTCTGAAATAAAGAAAGAAATAATCAGTTGACTAACTGCAGTACACTTAAAACTGTTGTGATGCTTTTGTAAATAAACTGTTAACACAGAGATATGTCTCGCCTTTTTGTAATTTTGATAATGCAAATGTTGACATTAAAATACCAATACTTTAACATGTAAGTTATGCAAATATTCAAAGTCAATGAACCATGACTGAAGGTACATGGCTTAACAATCTCCATGGAAATGAGATGTGCAAATGCTAATACAACTGCATACCAAATACCACTGACTTATCATAAGTCATTCCCTTTAAACAAACCTAAACATGATGAGGGAGTGGGGTTATATAATCTCCCTGGAAATGAGACTTGCAATTGTCAATAAATTTGCATACCAAATATTATTGACTTAACATTAGCAGTTCATCTTAAACTTATCTAATCACAAACTAATACATGTATGTAAACTGAGCAAAAGTTTCAAAGTCAATAGACCATGACTGAGGGGGCAGGGCCAAATATTCTCCATGAAAATGAGATGTGCTAATGCTTCTACAACTGCATACCAATTAACATTGACCTACCACTAATGGTTCCCCTTGAACTGACCTAATCACAAACTAATACATGTAAACTAAGCAAAGTTTCAAAGTCAATAGACCATGACTGAGGAGGCGGAGCCAATTTATCTCCATGGAAATGAGATATGCCAATGCTTATACAATTGCATACCAAATATCATTGACCTGCCACTAGTGGTTCCCCATAAACTGACCTAATCACAAACTAATACATGTAAACTAAGCAAAAGTTTCAAAGTCAATAGACCATGACTGAGAGGGCAGGGCCAAATAATCTCCATGGGAATGAGATGTGCCAATGCTAATACAACTGCATACCAAATATAATTGACCAAACACTAGTGGTTCACCATAAACTAGACCTAATCACAAACTATCACATTGTTGACGCAGCCCCACTGCTGTAACAGCATACCTATGTCTCGCTTTTTGACTCCGTCAAGGCAAGACAAAAATGGAAAAACTTGGATGTCAAAATTTGCAACTTACATAGTAGTGTTTATGAATAAAAAAATTTATTTTGATTTACGTAATTTTGCATTGTATCTTTATCTAAACAGTATACGACCTCTGTTGTTGGCTATATGAGTCATTTTATCAAAATAACATTTCAAAAATCTACAACTCAAGAATTTTTTAATCTATGGAAACTACATCTTTGGCATTCCAAACCTTTAGCTTGGAGCATATCTGACAAAAGTTTAAACTTGAAAGCAGGAAGCAGTCGTCCAAATGGAAGAATTGGAATGTTTGATGATCTTGTTCAGAGAATTTTTCTAATTATGTTGCAACAAATGGATTGATTGGTTGATTTTTGGTGTTTTAACGCCACTTTTAAGCACCGCTTTTGGGCTATTTCGTGGCGGCCAGTTTTCATTGGTGGAGGAAGCCGGAGTGCCCGGAAAAACACCGACCTTTGATAGGAAAACCAACAATCCTAGTCAATTAAGATTGGAGTCGAGTGCACCCGCACCCGCAGGGTTCGAACTCACAACCTCAGTGTTGACTGGCTAGTGATTACAGTAGAAACTACTTAGACCACTCGGCCTCCGAGGCCCCTGTAACAAATGGAAGAATTGGAATGTTTTATGATCTTGTTCAGAGAATTTTTCTTATCCCAATTCTTTAATTTGTTATTCAACATAATCAATGTCTTTCCTACCTGTGCTTCTATCAATTTTTCTTTAAGTGAATTTTCATTTTCCTCTGTCTGAACACAAACATCCAAATGACCATGATCAACTTCATCTGTATTTTCATCAATGAAAAAAACACTTTGCTGATCAAACATAGATTCAACAGTGTTTACAACAATTTCTCGTACATCACATGTTTTTGTCTCTACAGATTTATCACAAACTTTCGCTCGTTTTGTATTTGTCATGGCATTACTGACCTCAGCCGTGTCTGTCTGAGTTTCTGCACACTGACCAGTTGAATACATCTGTTTGTAATAATTTTTCATATCAATTGATTCATGGTAAAGATTTTGTTCAACATTTCCATTGCTTTTGCTTTGTCCCGTCTTTGGCACGTACATTGGAATCACAGAGGGAATAAATTCAGGAACGTCTGCTTTCAAAGATGTTGAAGAACCTTGTTGCTCCAAATTTTTGGCATAGTTAAAACCACTTGGTTTAAATTCTGGTGATTGTGGATTCAGTTCTATTGTTTCATTTTCTATATTTTTCAAATCTATATGTAATGGACGTTTTTCATTTAAATTTTCAGAATCATCAATGCAACTCCAACTGTCTGTCGCAATGATATTAAAATGGCCATCACACTGTTTATTTTGATCATGTTCAACATCTGGTATGGAGGCAGCAAGATAACCCTCCAAGTCACTCTGAGGTGTCTGACTTCTACTTCCACTACTCTCTGATGCAAAGTTCACGCTTTCAAGTGGATCACTACCTGATGATGTCCACGAATACAATGACGATTCCATTGCCTTCTTACGTCGTCTTTCCCTTACTCTGTCGATAGTATCTTCTGCTCTTAACTCTTGCAATGCAGAAGAAATTGCCTTTTGTACAAGTTTATTAGCAATCTGAAAGATTTTTTCATCTGAATCTTCTGTAATAGTCCTTGTATTCACCTCCTCATCTTGAAGTGCATCTGACATATACGGTGAATCAGTATCTTGACTCAACCTTCGTGTAGTCTCAACGACAGGAGTCTTAATAATGCCATCTTTGAAATTCTCCCAATCATCTGGTGCAGCTGCATCTCTTGGTGACTGCAACTCTGGCGTAGATAAATCATCATTATCACCAACTTCCTGAGCATAACTTGTTCTCCTAAGTGCAGTTAACATCTGTTCGTAATTGCTCTTCTTTTTGGATTCTAATGCGTATAAAATATGGCTGTTTTCTATACCATTTACTTCACAATCTGCAGCAATTTTTTCATGAGAAACTTCCATTTCTAAATTCATCGTTCCTTTACTGCCCCACGTCTTTTTCCATCTATCTGCAGATAAAACAGGAACGTTTTTATTGAAGTCTAAATGATCTCCCTTGCCCAATGAATCGCCTAAGCCAACCTTTGACGATCCATTCACAGCTTTTATATCTAAAGATGATGATTCAGAACTTTCAGATTCTGAATGCAAACGTTTCTTTGGGTTCTCGATTTTTATGCCGTATTTTGAAGCTTTCTGCATGAAATTTTGAGTATTAGTGTCCTCAGCCATTTCTTTCCTGTTCTTTTCTTCTTCAACTCTCCTAAATACTTTTGCAGTAGTTTGGTTAATTTTGTCAGATTTTGTTACGATGTTGATACCATAATGAGATGCTTTAGCTTTAAATATTTCCTCTGGTGTCTGAGCTTTTGTAGATTGATCTATTTGGCCTGCAAAATGAATAAGAAAAATTACCATATCTCAATCTACAGTGGCTGATTCAGGTGGGAGCATAGAATAATTAGACTCGAAGAAGCTACTATTAGATCTCATTGACTGACAATTGCCTATACAAAAAGTAACGCTTATATTGTCCTGAATCTTAGAGTCTATATGCTACTATGCTACTAGGTGAGGTCAGTAAATACATTTCTTCAGTTATTAAAACTTTAAAGTATACAAATGTATCTCTCTTGATTTGTTATAGCGCTGTGGTAAGTGCGTGATATTAGTCTGATTCATGTTTCGACATGATGAAACATTTCTACTGCCATGTTGGTTACTATATCATATCTAAATAAATTGGAAAGAACCAGTATTTATATACACATATGCATTAACAGAAAAAGAAATAAGTGACATTTGAATTAATTTTGATTTGATAACCCCACCCCAACCCCCAACCCCTTTTTTTTATTAAAGAATAAGTATGTAGCACAGTATGTATACCTATTTATATTTTTAGTTTTGTACACATATATTTATGTACTTTGTTTAAGATTTTATGATTTATTGAAACAAAATGTATACTTTTTTTCTTTTATGATTATTTTAAATAGATTGCCATAAATCTTTCAAATAAGGCACAAAAAAAAAAAGGGAATGAGCTGTCAAATTGACAACAAACCAGGGCTTCCAAATCGGTCATATATTCCGGACTTGACCGAAACTTTCATAAAAAGACCGGCTGCTCTCAGCCTCAAACGGTCAAATAGAATTGGTGTGCCACATTTTGTTATTCAAGGCATTTTCATGAAACGGTCATTTCAATTTTTACCAACTATCGATCGATAAAAATGTCCGTTTGGGGCTTTGGGCATGTCCGTTTGGGCATTTTAGTTTATAATTGTGGCAATCTATTTCACAAAGATATTTCGGTCATAATTGGGTTTAATAAAACAGAAGCAGCATATTTCAGATACTTTGAAGTGTCTCAGTTAGTCTAATCCTCTGGGTACATAAATGTACGGCTTGGTCTTTAGCTTGTGTACATCAATAAAAAGTAGAAAAAACACGTTTTCTTTTATTTAAATAACAACAAGCTGTCAAACAATTATCCCTTCAATAAGTTATATTGAAGCCATAAATCATTCACTGATTACAGGTTTGTTACCTTTGATGAGGTGTCCTTAGCTTATCTTTATCAATAGAATTAATGATGCATAACAATGTACATAAAGGTAATCCGGTAAACGAGGTCAAACATGTAAGCGTGTATGGAACAACATCCTATTTAATTACGCTTTATAGATATTATTTTAAATGAGCATTCAGTTTTAAAAGTATCCTGATATTTAAAAGTTATTCTTCAAATAAGGATATTTATAAATGAATAAGTATGATATATATTATTTTATTTAACACTGTACATCGTGTTAAATACTGGGGTACTCTCAAGGGGAAAATTTACTAAAATATATAGGAAAAACCAATGGACAAATATCAGTCAATAAATGATTTAACTAAGTTAAATGGTGCCGTGATCACTTCTAAATTATATCAAGAGAACAATGCCTGCTCCGAATTTATTCAGACAATTTCCGATGTTATAGAGAAAGAGGTGATGTCCGACGTAAAGTTAAGTCCCGCCGTGGGAATTATGATCGACTAAGGTGTAGTCTAGGTATTGACGCTTTAGATCAACTTATGAGGATAAGCTTAGTAGGTGTAGATGTTAAAGACTTTGACCCTGTTCCTGCTATCCGCAAATGGCAATCCGTTCGTAACCGCCATGTTTATCAGAACAATGCATTTAGCAAGCTCATGAATGTAAAATCTTTAATTAGACTAAATGAACTCTAATCTTGTGCTGTGATCTGTGCTTCTTTTCAATGTGCTCATTGTAATATTTATTGCGTGTGTTTGTCAGCATTGTGCTCTTCTGACATTTTATTGTTGTTATATGCTTACATAAAATATCATGTTGTTATTCATTAAATTATTTATCAACTGAGATAAAACTAATTTTATTCCTTATTTTCTAAATCAGGTTGGGAAATTGTACAAAGAAAAATGTTATCACTGTTCAGTAGATTTTACACGGTTTAAAACAATATCCTTCATCGGGCCTCCTCAATGTTATCTATAAATACCGCATCAGTTGTAAAAGTCACGTGGTCAGGTAATCAATACACAAAAAGAAAAGTATCACGTGTATTGATGATCAAGTTGTACTGCAATTAAAGCCAACATCAACAGTTTCAAATAAGATGGCCTTAATTTACAAAGTGTTAAGTACTCACAGAGAGAAGATAGATTATATAAACAGAAACAAAAACATGAGAACAGTCAGGTACTGAAGCTGATTGATGCAATGATGGTTACTGTATTACGATACACAGAAAAATGACACAATACCGAGGATAATATTTTATTTATTTTTAGAATGAAGAAAACAAAACAGTTATAAATAATTTTATTGCATATAACACTACTAATTATTTAGACACATATATCAATTTATGCATCCTCTCAGTTACATTTAAGTATCCAGCTGATCATTGACCGTCAAAAATATTTCTTTGAAAAATGTCCGGCTGTCGTCAGGAAATTTTGGAAGCCCTGCAACAAACTGGGTTTTCTGTGTTTTAAAAGGTGCTTTCAGGCATCTCTGAAGCAATGCAGACTTAACTGATTAGTTGAAAACACAAAACAATAATGAAGCTTCAATAAAGGGACACCAACACTCCAGGTGTAAAAAATTTCTTTAAAATCATGAAATATTTTTTGAGTAATGTTTTCACCCCTTTCATCAAATGTCTGCATCTTTTTATTTTTTTAAGTAAAATCTCAAGAAAGAAATAGGTCTTTTACACAGTAAAAGTCCTGAGCCAATGACAACATTTTGTTCTTTTATTTAACTTTTCCCTGCAATATATGACATTGTAAGTTAAATAACGATCTCAGACAAATCAATTAAGCAACCAACAATCAATCAATCAGACAAATCAACCAGGTGATCACATGACAGAAATTGAACAGGTAAGCACAGGAAATTTGATATTTGAAAAAAAAAAACAGCACTATCATGGCTATGGTGTTTTGGATAGCTCTGCATTTTGTACAATTGCACAGTGTTGAAATGTGATAGTGCTGTATAACAACATACTCAAACAATCTGGGGAGAACATGTACACTGAATAAAATACTTGTTAGATGTTAAACCATGTCATACAAAATATAAAATAAATATTAGATAAAAAGGTAGCAGTGATTCAAATTTAAAGAGTTTAGTCCCTTCACCCTTAGGTCTACTTTCCTATCTCAGTTTAAAATCTCCTTAGCTGGAGATTTTTCACAGTGAATCCTGGTGATATGGGGTAATTCACTCTTGATTATTCTTTTTGTAATTTGAATAGAAGTAAAATTGATAGTTGCAAATCAGTATGCAATGACCTTTATCAAAGTGATTTTCATCGATATGAATTTGTTTTTACTGCTAGGTGTTGTTAGTTTTTGACATAACAAACAAATAAACACAGACCAACACCACATGACATCAACAATAAACAACATGACCAATGACAACAGACAACAATAGGAAAACATGCATATATATATCAATGTGTTAGCACAAGAAGGTTAAAAAAATAATACTGTTATTTAAGTCATTGAAGTGGCAAATGAAATAAAGGGATTTCAGTAAGGATGTCCTAAAGCTTGAATTTTCCACCCGTGTCTATTAAGCAGAAATCTTGTATATTTAGACTTGTTTCTTTTAGATTAGATCAACCAAACTTATGTATTTTTGTATGCAATATGGAAATCACCATATTTCTTTTATTTAACATGTTTCATATTGGAATGTTGAGTTTTAATCTGCCAAATTCTTGTCGAAATTAGATAAAACTGTGTTGTGAATATACATGTATTGTATTTCATTAAAGGGCCATAAGCTACGAGATATAAAAAAAAAAAAAAAATATCACATATTTTTTTTTGTTCAATCATTAATCAAAAGTGAAATAGTGAAACAACAGTTCGCTTTTAGCAGCCAGTTTGGTTCAATTTTGTCAAAATAAGCTAAGAAACATCGCTGATGAATTATTCACTTGCAAGTGAATAATTCGACCTCAATGAATCCGTATTCATGTGACTTTCAATTCAATCCTTTAGCTAGAGATGTGTTGCGCATTAACAAGGCGTGTTTAGCTATTAAAAGGAAAAGAATGTCAACATTGAAGGTGAAAAAAGGGTAAACAAGATATCATTGAGATGGGAGCCATCTCTGTGGGCCCCGCTGTGAATAATGTGTGGTAAAACATTTGTATCTTTATCATTGGACATGGGGTTGTCAACTGAAAGCAAAATTTTTGACCTTGACCTTTGACCTAGGAAGTTGTACATAAATTATGACAAACCTTCTGGTGTTGGTTTATATACATGTCAAGTATAAACTTTGAAATCATAACGGTTCTCAAGATATAGAGCGAACATAATCTTTACCATAGGACATGGGGTTGTCAACTAAACCCAAAGTTTTTTACCTTGATCTTTGACCTAGGAAGTTGTACATACATTATGACACACCCTCTGGTGTTGGTTAATATACATGTCAAGTATAAACTTTGAAATCATAACGGTTCTCTAGATATAGAGCGGACACAATCTGTTACGGACGGACGGACTGACGGACATCTCTGGACTGATCACTAAAGGGCGTCCGCCATTCGGCGGGGCCCTAACTATTTGGTTGACTGATTCAATCCACAAAAACTCATTTTCATACAGGTAAAAACGATGCTTAACATATTTTTTTAACCTTTAATTTGAAATCAAACAGACCTAGAAAAATCCAATTGCACGTGTTCACTATCTATTTATATCTATATTTATATTTTATTTGTTTATATGACCGTCGGTAGTCTTCGGGGGTCACCTCGATGGTTAATAAGATGGCGTCTACACTAAAATACACCTGAAATGCTGATACACATTATTGAGTACATGCATCATCAATTGTTTATCTTAGACTTTTT